GGAGTCTCCTTAACAAGGCTGGCTATGGATTCCAAATCCAAAAAAGGAAAATAGATGATTTAATACTGTGTGGACATATTCATTTGCTTGGACCACCAATGCTGCAAAGTTAAAGTACTATATAACTATAACTATCTTTGAATAATAAAGGTTACGGACCCCTGATCTAGTCGTATGCTCAGCACTTCCCAAACACATGCATTTATATTAAAACACTTACTAATCACTACTCGTCCATGCATGAGACTGTATATGAGGAAGTGTTTTGATTAGTAAGGTTTCGGAGAAATGCTGAAATGTACCCATTAAATATGAAGTTACAACCAGCAGCTAGTTAGCTTAGCTTAGCACAAGGGTGCTCAAAGTTTTGATGACTGAGCGTCAATTGAAGAAGCCAGCACAGGAAAAGTACACTTGCAAGTTGTGTATTGAAATCGCTAACTTAAGCTAACAGCACTAGCATTGATGACAGGATGTAACTTCCATGACACTCGTACGGTGCTACAAGTCGCCATGCAACCAGCAGCTTCCTACAAGTTGTCATCCCTAACTTTAAAGATGCCTGTTAGCGGCACGCAGTTTGATGTCGTCTCCTAGTAGTGTATTAAATATAAGTTTCTTAAACTGTAAGTATTGAAATTGACCACAAATGATTAAAATATTATGAATGCATGCAGAGGCCGCACATAATGTTTCAGAGGGCCGCCGTCAACCTACCAGCACCTCTAAAGCTCATGAAACTCACTAGTCTCACAAAGACTAGTCATCCAGGACCCCCAATAAAATGTTTAAAGGCACAAGTTCAAAAGAAATGTTGAGAGGTCCAAGCCAGCCTTAGGTATCACTCCACAAACCTGCAACGTCCTCTTCCTCATTGCAGAATCCACTCAGTGATTATTTCTCAATGTTAAACATTTTAATATGTGTATAAAAAATGACTATTTGCCACTTATTAGATCATCATACACCAGATTGATTCTTCATACAGTCATAATTAAGGTGTTAATTGCCAAGCTTCCAAGATGTTGGTTGGCAGACTTCATTATCTTCCAAGCCAAGCTAGCTGCTGCCCTGTGTTTGCAGTCGTTGAGCTGAGCTAAGCTAACCAGCTGCTTCAGAATTAACAGGCATGTGTCTGCTAATACAAGAAATCCTAAACCAACAGTCGTTAAAATAATTAAAGAGCAGGTATGATGCTGGGGATGTAGCACAATATTCCCTCAACACTTAAAAGCTTCAGAGTATCTTTAGGTGTTTAAATAGCCCACTGTGACGTATGCTCTATGTCTCATCTCCCAGATCTTTCTATGGCTCAGTGAGCACTTTAAAACACAGTGTACTGATGAAAGACTCCTTTCTTGTGACAAGTCTGACCACAAGAAAACACAGGAGTGAGATTTTGTTGTGATGACAGCAAATTAGAGACTGGAAAAGCAATGCATCTAACTTCCTCGTGGATTATTTTCTTCCAGTGCATTTGTGAAAACGTACTAGCACTAACAATGGCCCATTCAAGGTATCATATTTTACCTAACCAGTTTTAAAGTATGTTCTAAAGATCGAGCTGGCAGCTGTTTTTCTTGTCAGGTGTTGGTGAAAAAGAAAAATGTTGGAGCAGTCTGAGTTTTGTAGACGCCAATGTTAAAGTGATTTCAGTGGTAAGCTGCTCCATCAGTGCCGCTGCTGTGGCAAACAAATTAGACGTGGTGTGTGTGATTTTGTTCAGATTGTATTATAGTGTATCTGGGCCACAGGGAGGGGCAGCTCAAACCCTGAAGCTCCTCTTCCTGTCGCGTTGTTGGTGCATTGAAACTGTACTTGACTCAAATTTCATATGCTCACATTTCAACTGCAACCCCCACACAAAAGTAGTAAAGAAAGGTTACATCCCATCATAACTGCTGTCATTACAGAGCGCTCATAACAAGGTCCACATAATCATGTCATTTGGTGCACAGAGATCTAAATGAGTTATAATACAATGTTTATCCATGAAACTAAACCATGTTTCTGTTTCAGACTAACAATGCCATCTGAAAAGGTTACGTCTTGGTTTGAACGCAGCAATTAGAGCATAAAAAGGACAAAGCTCCAAAACAAGAGCTGAATACATCTTTACTTACAGGAAGCAAACTTCAGCAAAGGACTTGAAACCATCATGAGTTCACCAACTAGTGCAATATGACAATCATTACAAAGGATACATCATTTCATCATATTCTACAAAAAGAAGTGTTTGCTAAATTGATTCTACACAATAACTCATTGGGATATTATAGTGTACAATCTGTATCACTATTAAGGCATCTTAAGCACAAAACATTTAGATTAAGATACAGTATATGGAAAGAAAAATTTTAAAAAATCTGTCACTGAAAACATCAAACACTCTCAGAAATAAAGGTGCCAACTGGAGCTTTCTTCAGCGTGTCTGTTGACTTTAGGCTTCTTTGCTGTGGCCATGTCTGTTGCCTAGCAGGAAATATGTGCTGTTAGGTAGCCATTTGTTTGCCTGTTAACTGTCTGTTCATGGAAACTTATGTATTAGTTCTACCTGAATAGTTCCTACTTGGTTCATGTCTACAAACTATATGATAGTCCTGCCATTGTGCGGCAGGGTTTCCCACACATTCATTTCTTTGTGCCAGCCCACCATGATGAAAAAAACTGCCTCCACAAATACTCGTACTTGTACTCATCATCCTCCGCTTATCCGGGTCGCGGGGGCAAAAAAGCCCAGACAGTCCTCTCCCCAGCCACTTCCGTCAGCTCTTCCGAGGGAACCCCGAGGCGTTCCCAGGCCAGCTGGGCGATGTAATCCCTCCAGCGTGTCCTGGGGCAGCCCCAAGGTCTCCTCCAGGATGGACATGCACGAAAAACCTCCAAAGGGAAAAGTCCGGAAGGCATCCTTACCAGATGCCCAAACCACCTCAACTGGCTCCTCTCGATGTGGAGGAGCAGCGGCTCTACTCTGAGTCCCTCCCGGATGTCCGAGCTCCTCACCCTATCTCTAAGGCTGAGCCCAGCCACCCTGCGGAGGAAACTCATTTCGGCCGCTTGTACTCACAATCTCGTTCTTTAGGTCACTACCCAGAGCTCATGACCATAGGTGAGGGTTGGAATGTAGATCGACCGGTAAATCAAGAGCTTCGCTTTCTGGCTAAGCTCCTTTTCACCACAATGCACCGGTTAAGCACCTGCATCCCTGCTGACACTGCCCCGAACCGCCTGTCAATCTCCTGCTCCATCCTACCCTCACTCGTGAACAAGATCCCAAGATACTTAAACTCCTCCACCTGAGGCAGGACCTCCCCCCCGACCTGGAGTGGGCAATCCACCCTTCTCCTCCACAAATACATTTTCTATTTTTGGAGCTGGACTGTTCATTAGGAGCACTATTTGAGTATATACAGTACAGGCCAAAAGTTTGGACACACCTTCTCATTCAATGCATTTTCTTTATTTTCATGACTATTTACATTGTAGATTCTCACTGAAGGCATCAAAACTATGAATGAACACATGTGGAGTTATGTACTTAACAAAAAAAGGTGAAATAATTGAAAACATGTTTTATATTCTAGTTTCTTCAAAATAGCCACCCTTTGCTCTGATTACTGCTTTGCACACTCTTGGCATTCTCTTGATGAGCTTCAAGAGGTAGTCACCTGAAATGGTTTTCCAACAGTCTTGAAGGAGTTCCCAGAGGTGTTAAGCACTTGTTGGCCCCTTTGCCTTCACTCTGCGGTCCAGCTCACCCCAAACCATCTCGATTGGGTTCAGGTCCGGTGACTGTGGAGGCCAGGTCATCTGCCGCAGCACTCCATCACTCTCCTTCTTGGTCAAATAGCCCTTACACAGCCTGGAGGTGTGTTTGGGGTCATTGTCCTGTTGAAAAATAAATGATCGTCCAACTAAACGCAAACCGGATGGGATGGCATGTCGCTGCAGGATGCTGTGGTAGCCATGCTGGTTCAGTGTGCCTTCAATTTTGAATAAATCCCCAACAGTGTCACCAGCAAAACACCCCCACACCATCACACCTCCTCCTCCATGCTTCACAGTGGGAACCAGGCATGTGGAATCCATCCGTTCACCTTTTCTGCGTCTCACAAAGACACGGCGGTTGGAACCAAAGATCTCAGATTTGGACTCATCAGACCAAAGCACAGATTTCCACTGGTCTAATGTCCATTCCTTGTGTTTCTTGGCCCAAACAAATCTCTTCTGCTTGTTGCCTCTCCTTAGCAGTGGTTTCCTAGCAGCTATTTGACCATGAAGGCCTGATTGGCGCAGTCTCCTCTTAACAGTTGTTCTAGAGATGGGTCTGCTGCTAGAACTCTGTGTGGCATTCATCTGGTCTCTGATCTGAGCTGCTGTTAACTTGTGATTTCTGAGGCTGGTGACTCGGATGAACTTATCCTCAGAAGCAGAGGTGACTCTTGGTCTTCCTTTCCTGGGTCGGTCCTCATGTGTGCCAGTTTAGTTGTAGCGCTTGATGGTTTTTGCGACTCCACTTGGGGACACATTTAAAGTTTTTGCAATTTTCCGGACTGACTGACCTTCATTTCTTAAAGTAATGATGGCCACTCGTTTTTCTTTAGTTAGCTGATTGGTTCTTGCCATAATATGAATTTTAACAGTTGTCCAATAGGGCTGTCGGCTGTGTATTAACCTGACTTCTGCACAACACAACTGATGGTCCCAACCCCATTGATAAAGCAAGAAATTCCACTAATTAACCCTGATAAGGCACACCTGTGAAGTGGACACCATTTCAGGTGACTACCTCTTGAAGCTCATAGAGAGAATGCCAAGAGTGTGCAAAGCAGTAATCAGAGCAAAGGGTGGCTATTTTGAAGAAACTAGAATATAAAACATGTTTTCAGTTATTTCACCTTTTTTGTTAAGTACATAACTCCACGTGTTCATTCATAGTTTTGATGCCTTCAGTGAGAATCTACAATGTAAATAGTCATGAAAATAAAGAAAACGCATTGAATGAGAAGGTGTGTCCAAACTTTTGGCCTGTACTGTATACGATCAGCTACTAACAAGCCGTCTCAACTGGGCTGCTAGCCTCAGCTCGTGACTGGCAGTTGAAAGTGGACCTTGGGAGGCAGCTTAAGCTTTGGAGCATATTGCAAGGACGTCACTAAGGCCAGATTTGGTCTGAACATCTGACTCCACAAAGCAAGGAGTGCTTGTAGGCCCATGAGCAAAATAAGGCCAATACCTTAAGCTGTTAGAGGCCTGTAGAGAGATTGGTTGGAGGGCCCGCTGTGAGCCAATCGAGGTGGGCTACAGGGGTTACACAGGGCAATCTGTGCCAAGCACTCAGGCTCCTTTGCATCAGAGGGTTGCAGGAGAGGAAGGCCACCAGAATCATCAGTGAGGCTGCAGAAGAGGCGTCAAGGTGGCTGTGGATCAAGAGGGCAGATCCATGGTTTACTGTGCTACTTGGACACAAGCTGGTGACTGATCAACCCCGTCTGGGCCGCCCAGGTGAGGGTGTCTGATGTTCTATGTCCCTAAACACCCTAAGCCGTGCTATCTAGATGTTTCAAGTATAGCACCACACTGTCATGGTGCAGAGCACACTTGGGGCAGAGATGCAGCAGCAGAACATCAGGCGCATTGAAAGTGAAACTCAACTGTTCACTCTGCTGCGTCTAAAAGTATGCCTTCACTTGCAGCAGCTGCTCCTCTCTGACGCTCTGAACGACTCGACAGATCAATGATCCACTCCTGAGTCAAAACTGCTGCTGACGAAAAAATAACTCACGAAGAGCTGCGATTGTGCTGTGATCACGAACCCGTAGTAACCTCCAAATTTAGAGAGGGGACACAGAATGATACATAGGGACACAAACATTTGAAGAAAAGACAAATGAAAGTTTGCTTAATATTGAATAATCATGAAGAACCAAAGTTGTGTTTACTGAGGGATCGGTCGCAAATACCAAACAAATCCAAGTGTCCATTTTCTGTTATTATTGTGGGTCTAATAACTGTCTGTCAAGTTGTCCTAAGACACTGGAAGATAACAAAGGCCCAGGAATTGAAAGAATGTGTTAATGCAATGGTGGAAATAGCATCTTCTGAATGTATGCTCAGTAGAATAAATGGCGATCAGGAGAAAGGAGTATCACCGTGGGACCGGTTGTGGACTCATATCAAAATGGAAGATAAACCTACATAATTATGTTTCTTTCTTTCTTTCTTCCTTCCTTACAGGAGCGTATGGTTCTGGGTCGCAACTCTTAATGAAGATCCCTTTTGAAACCCTTATTTCTAAGAGTGTACAGAGAGGTCTGTAAGCAGTAAGAATTTATTTAAATATTTAATCTGTCCTTAATAAATCTTGGCTTATTGACAGAAACCATGAAAGCCCCTACAAACAAGCAGCAGTATATGGAAACATTTTGGGTTACTGTAACAGTGTGACTGATAAGGCTTAAAAAAGTGGACAGGAATAAGCTGAGATTGTTTCACTGGAGTTTAAAAAGTATTCTGTTTGAAGTCACGATGCTCTAAAGGTCTAAAATGTGCTGCGGTTTTAAGACAGAGGTTTCTGTATATAGCTGCCATGTATAGTTTAGTGGCAAACACACTATACATGTACCTACTACACTCAAATTTTTGTGCCTAAATAATATACATTACCTAAATCTCTCTCTGTAATTATAGAGGCAGTAAAACAGGGTTTACATCCTGGGCCATCCTCCCAACGATGTGGTCAGTAAGACTTCACCACAATCTAACAAATGGCCAGGGCTGTCATGTTGCACTGGAGCAAAGGTAGTATTAGACAGGCAGCTTTGTTCTCTCCCTGAAGTGACATCACGGCCACTAGCAGAGCGAGAAGCGGCGAGAGTTAATGTTCATCTTGGTGACGCCGATGAGTCTCAGTGGGGCAGAGAGGCCGAGCCCCGGGGTGACCGGACATTCGCACAGCAGGTCCGACAGCTCGTCCCGCTCCTCGAGGCCGAAGGTGGCGTCGTTGAGCATCCGGCGATGCAGGTGGCACGTCTGCTCTATCTTCAGCTTGTTGATGTCATTGCGGAGCCGCATGAGCTGCCTCGCCAGCTGCTGGTCCTGCAAGCGCATGTCTGTCTGATGGGGAGAGACAGAAACAGTGGAGCTCAAACAAACCTGCTGATTCACTCATTAGTCACCTTATCAGCTAGAACATGTTGGAGTCGAGTGAAAATACCAGAAAACGCAATGTTCTTTTGGCTGAGTAAATGATTTTTGAGACAGTCATCAGGCAACTTGACAAAAAACTCCCAACACAAGGTTTGTGGTTTTACAGGGGGTGTTAAAGGGACAGTTCATGATTTTTTTTTGAAGTGGTGTTGTATAAGATACTTATCTATAGTCAGTGTATTACCCACAGTAGTCAGCATGCCTCCAGTTTGGAGAAGCAGGCAAGTCCAACCTTGAAGAATCACCTTCTGTTTAAGGGTACGCTATCTTTAGAATATTTTCACTGCTTTGCCTTAATGTCAAACTACTTCTGTCGAGTAAGTGAAGCCTTTCTATTGATTTCCTTGAAGCCAGAAATATAGTAATTTAATATCACTGAACACAGGAGCTGCTGGTGCACTGCTTCCTCGATCAATTTTGTGTTATTGTTAGCGATGTTCCTAACGATTTATTTCCCTGATGTTTAAATGGAAGTTGAAACTTGTGTTGTGCATGTAAAGTCAATGTAAAGACACGATTAGACACGAATACCCACAGGGCGTTGCGATGGGCGCGATGCAAAATACGCGAGTAGCAAGTAGCATGATTTTGTGTCATACGCTTATTCACCAGAGTTGACAAATCTGAACTTAAGCGACCAATTCCTGCCACGATAGCCAATCAGCATTGAGATCCTCTGGGGACTTGTGACACTGAGGACGTAGCGGCGGAAGTTCCTTCGTCGATTCAGCGATTTCACACCCGTATGACATGAGTTATTCGCACGTATAAAGCTAGTACACAAAATATTCTAGCATTCAAACTCGGGCCAGTAAAGTGACTTGAAATAAAACATTGCGTTCAGTGTAAACACAACATTAAACTAATCTATAAACCGTAAAAAAAAATGTTAAGTTGCTGCCCCTGACCACAGCAGTACATTGCTTAGCTTCTGTGTCAGTACTCCAGTCTGCTTCTCCAAACTTGTGCGTGCCTGCTGCCACCTACTGTAGGTAATACAATGACTATGGACTAAGTACATGATACAACCCCACTTCAAAAGATCTGAACTATCCCTTTAATTAATAAGTTTCAGAGGTGCTTGTTGGCAGATTTTGCTACCTCCAGACATAGCCAGGCTAGTTGTTGCCAGTCTTTATGCTAAGCTAAGCTAATTGTTGCCTAGCTGTGCAGACATGTGTGCTATCAATCCTCTTATCTTATCCTCAGCAAGAAAGTAAATAAGCGTACTTCCCAAAATGTCAAACTATAACTTTAAACATAATTTTTAGTTATATCCTGAACTGTTTTACCTTCAAATACGATTCACACAATGTACAAGTAGCTGACATTATCTAGATTCACTGCAGGTCCATGCTTTCAGACCTTATTCTGTGACAAAATCTGTAAAGAAAACTCACAGTGGGACATCCACAAACAAGTTTCTAATCATATGCTCTCTCAATTTTATCGCTTTCGTGTCCACTGTCTTTGTGCCAGCGTCTGTGCAAAGATCATAATCTTCTCCCTCGTCCACTGTCTTTGTGCAAAGCGCTGGTGGCCTCATACTGTGTGTGTGAGTATGATTCTGCCTCTGACTGTGCCTCCTTGCGTGCTCAGTCCAAGCTCATGAACCGTGGGTGAATGTGCAGAGTAATTGAGCAGAGTAAAAATGATTACACTTGCAAATCTGTGTGTAACAAATGTCTATTGCCTGAGTCCCAATCAATCTCACTCACTAATGTGAATGGGATTCTTGTGGTCGGTAATTGGACATAGTGCCCATTGTTAGATTCTAATTAGCTAAGTAGCAGGAAGTAATTTTCTATTCTGGCCTTTAACTGCAAAATTATAAGGCTCTTCAAATTAACGACATGAATGAAAGTGTGTGTTTGAAGCTCAAAATATCCTACAAAATATGCTGTATGATGAGTTTTAAAGCGTCTAAACAAGATTTTTGGAAAAGGGCCACCAATACTACACAAAAATAAATATTGCAAAAATAGATGATACATTTGCATTGTCGGGAATTCAATCAATGTGTCACCTAAAGATGTTTTGATTAGTTTTGCTTTTGACAGCTCAACACCCATTAACAGCTACCTAACTGGTTAATTTGTGAAAAAAAAAATGCAAAATGAGCCTAAATATATGAGGCCTTTCCTTTTGAGCTCAGTGAGCTTTAGCGCCGCATTTCAAAGCTCTATCCATTTAGAGGTGGTAAAATTTTAATATTTTGTGCTGTAAATGTTTTGCTTTTTATTTAATTTTCTGTTGGCTGTGTTGACAGACAGCCAGCTAGCTGTGTTAACATGTGAACATAGTGCCAACTGCCCACCCCCTCAGTCTCCACTGGTTAGCTTGCATTAGCCTTTGCTGCACTGCTCTGCTCACCACCCGGGTCAGGTGGGAGCTAGCCAGCAGCTACGCTTATTTGTGATTACCGCTGGTAATACCATCTCAGTGAAGGGACAACCTTGTTGTGGAATCATGGAGGCCATCCTCCAGTCTCCCCAATTCATTTGAGCCGCAAAACCCTGTTAGCATTGTTAGCTATGTTAGCACAACTAGCAGTGCTGACACTGTTGACAGTGCTAACAGAGCTAATAGTAGTTAACAATGCCAAAGGGGGCTTGAGGCAAAATTAAGCTGCTTACTCACAGGGGCAACCTGGGGGTAGACTGGAGGGTGGGCACAGTGTTTCCTCAGCAACACTGTTAGGTTGGGATGCCGTTGCTAGCGGTAATTGCTAAATGAGTGGCGCTGCAAACTAGCTCCCACCTAACTCGGCTGGCATGCAGGTCAGAGTAGCCAGGGCTAACATCAGCTAAACAGTAAGGACAGGAGGGTGAGTAGTGGGCACATTTTCTGTCTGTACAGTGCAGTGAGCTGAAGAGTGGCAAAATTAACCTATACAACAACATGCGTAATCGATTTAAAAATATTCTCAGCTATTAACCAATTAACACATTGCGGTTAACTGTGTACATTCTTAGTCTCACCAGTTCTCTCCTCAGCCAGCTGAGCGCTTCATCAATGTTCTCAAATCCCTTCGGTACACCCGACGGCAACTTGCGCTGAATCACATCAGACTTCACCACAGTCTCTTTGGGGGTGACCAGTTTCCCCTCAGGCTCCAATTTGATTGAGCCTTTTCCAGTTCCAGACTCTCTGAAACTGTCCGCCTCGAGTCGGGCTTTCCACTCTAGGTACGAAGGCCTCCTGGTCTCCAGTCTTAGTTTCTCCGTCAGGGCCTTCAAGTTCATGAGATGGTCATCGGTGGGCAGATCTTTCCCACATTCTGCTTCCTCCAGGACATTAGACTTGTCCACAGTAATCTGAGGAGCTGAGGGAGCATCCATTATTAATCTGTTAAAAAAAGCTCCTCAAAAAATGTGTCAAAATGAAAAGAGATATCTGCTCGTCATTGGTGGCCTCTTTCAGTGTTACAAATGACCATAGTTGTAGGTTTTTTTGTCCTTGCTGCGTCCACTCCCTCTGCTCTTTGTCCAGAAAGTCAATCTTCAAAAGCTCCGTAAACCCTCCATTCGTGTTTTGAAGTATCTTTAGAGCTGCAGAGGAGACAGGAAGCACGTTATGAAACATTTGCTGACTACACCACTGGCAACCGCATCCAAATGACAGGAGACAAAACTAACATGACATCTGTCAAGCAAGACTTCACCTCGGCTGTGGCACGACAGGCTCAGTTATGACTGGAGAGATTATATCTCAGATCGACTGACTGACGACTGTAATGAAAGTTTGTGCACTCTTCTGTAAAGTTATTCAGATCAAGCATCAGACTTCTCATGTATCAAATAATAACGGATCAGCACACTGAGGGAACAAACCTCCAGGATTTTCATTTAACAGGAACAAACTGTTTCCATAGCAACAACACAGGCCGCGTCAATGAATCAGCAATTTTCCACCTCCTGTCCTTAGGGCTTATTGCCTCGACCAACCTGTGACAGACAACTGGCAGTGGAGCCTGACGGAGGACAGCCTGGCTCTTGTACACAACACAACCCCTCTGTTTACTGCTGAAAACTTATGTAACAAATACACATTTCAAAAAGTACAGATCCTGAACACTGTGGGCAGAAGAAAATATGCAATAATGTTTTTGTCGATTAACAGATATTAAAGTGTGCTCAGTTTTGCCTCTCTGCTGATTTGAGCATACAACTGCAATACCTCAATTTGCTCAATTTTTTTACTACATACAATAGTAAATGATCCTGTTTAAACAGTGCTATGAATTACACATATGATGTTTGTCAATTTTAAAGATAATTTTGCAGGTCACAAAAGTCGCAGTTTGTTATAAAAGTGCTTAAGTATGAGGCTGTGAAAACACTTAACAATTACACAAGTCATGTATGTGACGTCCTAACTTTCTCTTTCACGTAACATTTCACGGAATTTATACTTCTGCGCCGAATTTCACAGATAATAAACAATAAATTGTGAAGACAATAAAGCCTCCACTAAAATAGCATTTTAAGTCTTGTGTGTGATTTATCCTGACTTCATATGAGCAGATGAAATCTCTGCTAGGCTAATTCATACAACGTAACATGCCATAGGCTTGTGCTAATAACATTAGCATGTTGTATTTGTTTGGAAAATGTTTTAAGTATAAGACAGTTATTTTGTCGGTGAACCTTGTGAGTTGTAATGAAGCCAGATTAAGTGCCGTTACCTTTGTTAAATGTTGCTGTTGTCCCTGGTTTTATATGAGAACAGGAAAAGTCCACTAGCCACTAGGCTAATTTACACAATGTAAAATGCCATAGGCTTGTGCTAATAAAATTAGCATGTTGTAATTGTGGGGAAAATGTGTCCAGATAAAGACAAGTGTTTGTCTCCACACAACTACTAAGCCTGCGTTTTTCATCTGCAGTTTATTTATATGTATCAAATAAACGTAGGGTACTGAAAGTAAAGTATTTCCATCTCAGATGTAATGGAGGAGAAGAATAAAGTAGCAGAACATGGAACTACTCAAGTACAAGTGCATCACAATTATACTTCAGTACAGTTCTTGCAAGTAAATGTACTTCGTTACCTTCCACCACCACTTCAAAGATTCAGACTATTAATGAGAAAATATAATGAACAAATAAATTAGGATGGATAAACATGACTTGACTGCTACTTGCAAAAAAGTCCCACATGTACCAGCGTGAAAATTAAAGTGATTAAAAGATAAATGCATCAGTAATTTTATTTTAGCTGAAATGGACCGTTGTGCATAATGAGATCTTAAGATTTTTGTTTATGTACTTTCACCTAAGTAAAAGATCTGAGTACTTCTTCCACCACTGCAACCCTGTGTCAAATTAGCCCATTAGCTCGATGCTAACACATAATAGGAAATATTACTAACGCCCTACTGAAAATAAGCATTGTGATAATATTATCCTTGGTGCTAACAGAGCATTTTTATTTCACATGGTTAACATTAAATGTAATGTGTGTTCATACTTAAAGGCATAAATTCCCCATGCTCACTGGAAACAAACTAATGGCGGCTAACTTCTGTCCTTGCTGTTTTCAGTTGTCATTAGTGTTAAGGATGCTAATGCTACATAGGCTCGTTGTTTTAGCTTAGGTGGTGCAGTTATCCCCCGTGAGAGAATGTCGCCACCTGCTGACGTGGTGAGTAACTGCACCTCACACAGATATTTATTTACAGATCCTGCTGTGGTTGGAATTAGACAGAATTATGCAAATACACAGGAGCAAAGTCATAAATGTAACATGACCCACAAACTGACAGGAAGTGAACCTGTTTCATGTAAAAATGGATCCACATATGCAAAAATATGACCACATGTTATAGGAGCCATCCATGGTGTAAAATATGTGCAGGTTGCTGATTTGTCCTGTAGGGGTCACTGTACTGTCATGGGTGACTGGAGGCACCATTGATTAAGAGACAGGTGTTGCTAGACGGGGAGCACACATAGTTTTTTGACTGCAACTCTGAAATGAGGTGCATGTGTAACACAGTTTGTATTGCATGTAATTCCACTTGCCCTTCTAGATGGGATTTATGGTTGTACGTGTGGCAGCGGCATCAAAACGGCGCCCAACGGGAAGTAGGCCTATGTGTAGTGCTGCAAAATTTGTGAATGGCCATTCATGTTACGTGTGCGCACTGTTGATTTTATACATTGGTGGTTGAAGTCGGAGAACAATTGGCTCTATTAACTGTGACTGTGCGTGTTATGGACAAGCTTAACTTAAGTTTAGGAAAATACACTGAATAATCGATGTGGTCAGGCCCGTGGAGGCTATTACGCAGTCAGGTGACGCAAGCAGCGACAGTATAAAAATGAAGGTTATTTTAATCTGTATTTCTGTTCCGACACCCAACGGCACAAGAAGACATTTTTATTCTGGGTATATCAACTGTTTCCACTGTTTTTATGCCACCAGTGTGCACATGCTACTGTGACGTCCACTCAAAATTAGTCTATTCGCAAATCACACTGAATTTTTGGGGATTTGATCTTACAAAACACAAATGTATAATAACTATTCACACTCACATTCAAACCTACGGACAATATAGAGTCACCGATTAACCTGCATGTCTTTGGACTGTGGGAGGAAGCTGGAGTACCCAGAGAAAACCCACACTGACACAAGAGAGAGAAGCACAATTTCAAATCAACTTGCCAACATAATATTGGTGCTAAACCTATTGGAAAATTCAGGATATTTCTAAAGTTAGTAGAATTCGTCTTCTCTTGGCCCTGAATGTCTGTATAAAATTTCACGCCAACTCATCCAGTAGTTGTTGACATATTTTGGACTGGTCCAAAATGGTGGACCGACCCCCAGCTATCCATAAAGCCATGAGGTTAGCATGGTTACAAAGTTATGATCCTCTTTTTATTGTGCTATACATCAACACACAATTACATTTCCACAAACATATGGCATCTACAGCTAAGTATTTTTTAATCTGGCCAGTTTAGAAACACCGGGCTGAGTGTGGAAGACTGACTCAGGATATAAAGTCACACACTAAATCTTTAACGCAGCCTCTTACAGTAAGTGATATTGAAAACACTCTCATAACAGTGACAGCAGCAGCAGCAGACTCTCTGCCCAGTGTCCTCTTACAAAGTCTTAAAGCACTCAGTAAGTGGTTAGTGCTCAGTTATTCCATAATGGGCAGAGCAGACCCGCAGTGAAGTCATTGCCCCTGTATCTAATGATAGGCTTGGCTGTTTTGCAAGGTAAAATAGACCTCTGACTGTGCAGAGCATGCCCGAGACAGATCCTCTCATTCTCTAAGGGAATGAATCAGACCACATGTTACAGGAGACCAGTGAAGGAGGAGGAAAATCCATGAGTCCACATGCATTTTTAAAGAGTGTGTAAAGACCCTGTGTGTGCAGGAAGGTATTGATTTATATTGTGAACAGGAACTGCAGAGCGCAGAGGTTTACAAAGTGTGTGTGCGCGGTTATATAAAGAGCTGTAATCACAATTATAAAGACATAAAGGGTTTAGAATCATTGCAACAAAAGCCCCAAACCAGCCGCTTGTTGGCCGCCTCATCGTTTTGGAGGCACTTTTGGTGAACTCTGCCACTTTTCAATAGACCAGCAGGAAATCTTTTATTCTTAAGGAAGCCAAAATTTACATCCTGAATATCAAATGCAGTCCGGGGCAAATACAAACACTGACAAAGACCATTTATCCTTATTATCCAAATGTCCCAGCTGAACATCACCCATACATTCCTCTGGTTTCAAGGCAGCAGAGTTTGATTGCCCGGCAACGTTGCCACACCAATAAAATTTATTTTGTGGCGTTATGAGATGCCAAAACCTGGTCTGGCTAAAGAATTTAGGAAGTTTGGCTCTCCTATCTGGCACATGGAGGCATGTCTACATAACAACCATGACTGCAGAGTAACTAATCAGGCTTTAGTCTGTAGCTCATCTGAGTCATTTCCATTAAGAGGTCCAATGTGTTGGATTTAGAGGGATATACTGGCAGAAATGGAATATAATAGTGTATTATAATATAATAAATGTATTTTCTTTAGTGTATACTTATAAACATTATCCATAGAAACTATCAGCACGATCACAGTTGACTCAAAGGGATGAGCAGCCTGACACAAAAGCTATTCATAAAGGTAAACACCCGATTACTGTGGCTTATTGGACTCCTTCGTTATGGCAACAGAAACTTAATGAAACAGTCTGTGCTTCAAAGTGAGACACACTAACAGCCTGAACCAACCACAAATACAGAAGAAAGCTCATACTGCATACCAGCATCAACAGGTGTTATATATATAGGATGTTGTTATGTATAACACATGGACAGACACACACACACACACACACACACAAAAGGGCGTCGGTTTCATTTCAACATTGTGTGGGACACATATGAGACTGGGAGTTTAGGGGTCCTCTGCCAGAAAACTTTGAGCATCAAACAATTTTCTACGATGTAAATGTCTTTAATAATGTCAAAGTCTGCTTCTTTTTGGGGGAATAAATGCATATGTCCTAAATAGACCTACTTGGGGTGAAAAAGAAATTGATACAGCATAGTATTACCTTATTTTGCTGGCAATATTGCATCAGTACAAGAAAGCCAAGTATCAATTCTTTTATCATATAAATTATTAATATTGCAACTAAAAATTAAACTTCGGTAGAATGCTAGATCAATAGAATCAGTTGCTTTTTCAGTACATTTGACACATTTTGATGCTGTAAAAATGACTGGCATGAGATTAGATAAAACAAATGTTGACGGATTTTTTCAATGGGAACACAATTTGCAGTTAAAAGAGGTATTAAATCGCAATACATCACAATATATGTAGTCACAATACTAAGCACATTGCAAAATGGCAATAATATTGTATTGTTGCGTAAGTATCGTGATAATATGGTATCGTGAAGCCTCCGGTGATTCCCACCCCTGCTAAATACTGAGGGGGACATGTCATCTGCATCCTTCCTGTGCATTCTGGTGAATTTTTATGCAGCAATTTGTGTTTGTTTGATTTTTTTAATCGATCTATGGTGTCAGTGTCTTTAATCATGTCAAAATAAAAGTCTTCTACTTACATGTTTTGTTTTTTTTGGGGGGGGGGGGGACAAATGCATGCTCTAAATACTCAGGGGAATGTGCCCCCTGCGTCCTCCCTGGACATTCTGGGAATTTTTTATGCATCAATTTTACATTTTTTTGCATTGATCTATGGAGTAAATGTCTTTAAATGTGTCAAAATAAAAGCCCTCTGCTACTTTCATGATTTAGTTGGGGTGGGAGGACAAATGCACATGTATTAAATACTAATAGAGACATGTCCCCTGTGTCCCCCCTGTGCATTCTAGTGATTTTTTTTATAATCATGTCAAAATAAAAGTCCTCTGCTACTTTTATTAATTTATTAGGGGAACAAACACACACCCTAAATATTCAGGGGGACAGGTCCCCTGTGTGTCCCGTGTGCAGTCCGGTGAATTATTATGCACCAATCTGTGCATTTTTTGCATCGATCTATAGTGTCATTGTCTTTAAATGTGTCAAAATAAAAGTCCTCTGCTACTTTCATTTTTTTTTTTTTTTTTTGCATTTTCTGCACTGATTTATGGTGTAAATTGGGATGCACAATACTGTCGGCATGTCATCGGTATCAACCAATATTGGCTTTAAAATGAACTACCAGAATCAACTAACATGCTTTTTCTTATTTTGCACAATGAATAAATATTGCATACGTTAACAACCAGTCTATGTCATGTCTCCATCTGCTGGTGGGCCGTCACAATAGGAGTAAGCATGCATAATATGATGTTAATTCCACTGATGATCACTAAAATTAGGTAGGAAAAAAGTGGATATATCAATATCGGTATCTGTTATCGGCCATATAAGTTGTTGTATATCGGCATATTGGATATCGGCAAAAAACTCTATATCATGCATCCCTAAATATTGAGGGGAGCATGTCCCCCTGTGTCCCCCCTGATATCTACACCCATGCACAGACACATTGTCCTCTCCTTAATAACTTACAAGCAAAAAACATTGAGAAAACATTGTCACAGTATGAAAGTTAATAACAGCAATACAACTTAATGCTTCTCTTAATTCTCTGGAGTTCTGACTGTAAAAATGAACATGCTTTGACTTCATTACAGGAGTATAAAGTTGTGGTAAAGTTTGCTTATTGTTGTCATTTAGCTCATGCAGCCAAGTTAGTGTATCTGAACATGTAGCCAGTTCTCAGTTTTCTGCATGATACATAGTACTTTAAAACTAAAGTTAAACAGATAAACTTAGTGATCCTGCGTCCACATATCCTCCACATGAGCACAGTCATGCTACCCTCCTCTTGCAGCTCTGTCACCGCTGCAGAGTCAAACACCACCGGCATCACCCTGATCACTGTAACTCAAACTGTGCGGCTCTGTTACCTTGTGTGAGTCCCTCTGCTGCAGCTCACCGTGTAGTCCTCCAGCCTGGATCCAAGCCGCCACATCAGTGAACACCATCTGCAGCCGGCTCCCCCTCTCATATCATCCACCTCACAGCTCCACGCTCCTCGTTTGTGAGCAGAGAGCTGCCGGAGGAGGGGCGGGAGGGTTGCGTCAGGTTCTGGTTGCTTGGAGACATCCCAGGAATCCCTCGCAGACTTCCCGCCTCATGAATAACACTGCGAGTGCGCCACACGCTGATGGAAAGGCAACAGCTTCACTCTCACTATTATTTATTTTCATCCAACAAGATACCACAGATACACTTTTTATTCATAACAAATGGACCGGAAGTACAAAATGTGAAAAACTGGACACATAAATAGACTGATTAACCACAAAGTTTTCAAATGACCCTTATGAAAGTGACTAATATAATAAATTCTGACAGAATAAATACAAAGAGCTCTTTAAAAACGTGTCAAAGTGGACATATGTGAAAAATACACAAGTATTAATTTTACAGCTTACTGGCGCAGTGTGGTTATTATAAAGTTGTGCCACATTAGGAGTTGTAAGTCGCATAAAAAGTCTATAAAGTCAATAAATAAATACAGATAAAAACATTTCAATGTAGCTTGTAGCTTTAGCTGATTGTCTGCAGGAGTGTAGTGCTGCCATCACATTACACATGGTGCTGGGGACGAGAGCCTGGGAGCATACTGGGGCAGGGGTCAGACACTTTTATGATCAAAAGAGACATTTATGACCAAAAACAATATTCAAAAAAGCAGAAAACATATTTGAGCCTTATAATGAAGTAACACAGCCTATGTAGTGTAAATTTGCCAACCACTATTACTAATATTTTACTGTTTTACAATATGTCCTGTAATATCTTTTTGTTAAAACACAACATTCAATTCACTGATTTAATGTGACACCCAACTACACTAGCCTTCGAATATGGAAGCAAATAAGAGACATTAAGTGATTGAATTTGAACAGCAACTGAATACTCAATACGGACAATTAAGCACCACTGGATTCATAGCATTGAAATATTTTACTTTGTATCTGAATTCATTTGTTGTGAATTCACCTCCTCCTTGAAATTAAAATGATTTTTATTTGCAAAAGCTGTATTTGTATATATTTTTTATGTTCACAAATTCAGACCCCAAAAAAGTTTCTGAATAAAAAAGATCCAAAAACTCAAGTCAAAAATTTGAAATATTTCAAATACCTATTTAACATTCTTCAATAGCTATTTGAAAATGTCAACTTGAATTTTCAAATTTAAACTGCAAATCAAGAAATTTCCTATTTCATTTTCAAAGAGGTGAATTCAAAACATTAATAAATAATAATAATAATAATAAACTTTATTTGTATAGCACTTTTCAAAACACAGTTACAAAGTGCTTTATGAGACAAAGACAGCATCAAAATAAAAATGGCACTAAAAATATTGAGCATAGGCTAATACCAAATAAAAGTGTGTAATAAAAATAAATAAATAATGAAATTGATAAAAGTAGGATAGAAACTACACACACAAAAGATTTACTGTAAAAAAAGGCCTTTAAAGTATGTTTTGATGAGTGTTTTAAAGACATAGTTTACAAAGTAAATTATTTCAATTCTATGACTTCAGTTAAATCAGCCCTGTGAGGCAAATTGTGATTTGTGATATTGGGCTTTATAAATAAAATTGAATTGAAATTGAATTAAATTTTAATATTAAGTATTCAGTAGCTCTTAAAATTCAAATACAGACACCATAGCTGTGACAACGCTCAGGCCTGACATGGTTCATGTACTCCTTCATGTTCAAGGCAGGTGGTCCTGCTGGAATCGACTGTGCCCTGGAGGAGGCGTTTGAATAGAAGAAGGCCAAGCATGAGGAGCTCACAGGTGAATGCTGAAGCAGGAGATAGAAGACCCGATGTGGGATTTGCCAGCCAGTCACTCTACATAGCCCTCAAGTTGCTGGGGATCAGAGAACTGCACAGCATGAGAGCCATAAGGACCATCACTGATGCTGCTTAAAGGGCATCAAGATGGCTGTGGATCAAAAGGGGTGAGCTGTGGATCACACAAGAAGTCAGACAGACTGTGGTCTGATCAACCCTGGCTGGGTCGCCTGGGTGATGACCCCAGGTTACATCACGGACGATGTGTCTAGGTTGCACCTTAAGGTGTGTGCTAACTCAGCATCATCTCTTATGTGCTTCCCAATACAGCAAAACTTTCCTTGTACTGGGACATTTAATCAGTATCAATATAATATTCAAAGATACAAACCTACTTAAAACTGACATTTTGTTGTGAAAGTTGTGAAATAACCCGTTTTAAATAGTTGTGAGACACTCAGCAAGCAGTCTAAATATACTGTGATTGTCATGTTGCTTAGTGGTACATTCTTACGGCATGGATTCTATAATAACACAAACATTTTGCCCAAATTTTGTGGGATAAAATTTGTCCAAATAAAAGACAATGAGAGACAAAAGAAATGTGATTTGCAGACTAGTTGGAAGCTAAGTCAATATGGAGCTAACAAAACATTGAACTGGGAACAAGCCTTCACAAGTTAAATGGAGACTCTTGGGTGAAGTGGCCATGCCAGTTGTTCCCTCGCCAAAATTTTGCCTCCCTTTGGAGCATAATTTGGCCTCCTTCCCAACAAGGTTTGCCGACATAGTTGGTACCAATGGATGTCTTAGGTTGAAGATACCAGTACCTTAACGCTAGCGTAAAAATGAGCCTTCCACAGCTTTTGTATCAAGGTAGCCATGGTCCATCCCTGGCCTTCAGCTGGGGGCGCCACTGCCTTGTGATTGTACTGCTTGCTTTTTAGAATTGGAAACATATTATAGAAGCAGGGATTCTGTGTGTTGTGGCGCTGCTATCCTTCTGCTGGTTACAAAAACTACCAGTAAAAGCCACCGTCTCCACGACACTAGGAAGTGCAAAGGGTCAAAATCCTATATCACCAGTTTAGAAACACTATCTTTGTCATCCATGTGTCTACGCACATGCACCTGAATGCTTGAAGATCACATTAAATTAGAAATGTCCTGCATAAAACATAAACAGTCACACAAGTTAAATGAGTCAGATAGTATTATCTAAATTATCTTCATAAAGTAAGTTCCTCTATGTCATCATCGAATGATGTGATGGCACGGACGGCAGGCCTGCTATCTGCGGTGTGCACAGTGTTCAGGGAGGACGCTGGAGGCGTGTTGGACCCTGAGTTGAAGCTGAGCAGTCCGTCCCTTCTTGAACGCACTCCATTGGTCGTTGGAGGACTGTTGAGGACCTCCATTTTATTGGAGGTGCTCACGCTGTCACTAGCAGGTGTTGCCACGGCGCCAAATAGCTGCTGCATGAGGCTAGACTTCCTGTCCTTCCCTGCTCTTTCTGTCTCCTTTTCTTTCTCTGTCTCCGTCCCTCTGAGACTGAAGATACCTATTGCTTCTAACGCAGAGTCTCTGTCCGCTTTGGGTGGAGGTGGAGGTGGAGGGAAGCCTGAGGAGCCTCGAGAAGCTGAATGTCCGAAAGAAGGCGCGTAGCTTCCGAATGCCAAGTCGTCGTTGGAGATTTGAGGCCGTAGCCCTCGCCTCCCTATTCCTGTTATAGCAGCTCCACCCTCCATGCCTGATCTTCTCCTTTCGCCGTCCCTGCTTCCAGCACCGGTGCGCAAACTGGCCGAATCCTCTGATTCTGTGAGGTTAAAAATGGAAGAGTTATGGTTCCTCTGCTCAGGAGGATGAGGAGAATAATGGTTACTGGCAGCCTTATTGGACTCAGAGGGACTAGACTCAGAGAAGATGGCATCCTGGGCTCTGTGGTCTTGATGGTCTATTTCACGCATCTTAGCCAGCAGCTGGTCTTTTTTACGACGTGCTTCTGCTGCTGCTTGCTGATTGGCCAGAACCTCCTGGTTCCACCTCTCCACCTCTTCCTGGACATGGCCACGCTTCCTGTTGTTCTCTTCCTCCCGGTCGAACAGGGGACTTGTCTTCTTTCTGTCTTCTTCCTCTTTCTTTTTCTCCCAGCCTGTAAACATAAGACACATCCATCACTGTTGTCTTCTTGTATGTTTTTTTTTACTTGGTTTCAGATCTTTGATTCTGCCCACTCCACGAAGTTAAGTTGTTTATCTGGCACAGTGGCATGAAACAGTGATTTCTCAGTTAAACAATCGCTCCAATGAGCACCACGGGAGGAATAACGTTTCGCCAACTAGCTCCACAGGTGGGAACAATGACGCTGTCAAGCTGTTTGCAGAAACCAGTGAGGAGTAATAACAACAATGGCGACCACTATAGACAAGACAGACTTTGTAATTTGTTTTTACTTCACTGCGCTCCATTCTTAAAACCCTGGCAAAACAGGTATGTCGGCATGGCTATGCATCAGTGTTCAAGCTCTGACACACCAAGCCAACAGTCAGCCGTTGGTCAATGTCAGGCTGTTGATGAACATCTCTTGCCCAAGTTTGGCGGTGTGTCTTGCACCATTGGCCCTAGCTTGCCCTTGTTGGCTGTTTTTTTGGCTGATTCAGCATGTTTAACAGGCGTCAGAGCTGGTGAGGATTGAAACCACTCTCAGTGCAGAAACAGAAGCCAGGAAGGTAAACAAACGGCTAAAGTCAAGAGGGCAGGAGATCAAAACAACGTTAGCTATTTAGCTCTTGAGCAAAAATGGTTTGTAATTGTTTGTGTTACTGTTCGCTAGCGCACAGTATTATTCGTTTATTCAACATCAGGTTGTGTTGTTAATGTGCTAACTGGCTAACTAGCTTCTTGAATCTGCCTTGTCGGTCTTCCAGTTTCCGTTTTGGATAATGAACATAGACCACAGCCACCTGCTGGTAAGGAGAGATGTTTCCTCTCATGCAGCCGCAGAGTGTACGCGTTAGCTGGCCACTGGCTGTAGTCTTTGTGGTGTATTTGAGTGCAACTCTTTGGCCAAGACAAAGGCAATGTGAGGTGATGCAACAGTTAGCCTTCGTCGCTACTTGCTCTTTGATGTCACTTTGGTTGTCTGGGCCTTAAGAATTATGTTAGATTGAGGCGAATACGTTGATCTCTGGTGACTGACTAAGGAAAATCGAATACATCTCCCCTTCAGAGACAGGAGGAGTTCGGCAAGTACTTTTTACCAATTCTCTAAATACAACAGAGTAGCATATACTCTTTGCTTTTCTTACCATCTCTTAGTGTCTTTGCCTTCTCCTCAAGGGCATTAAGCTCCTGGTTGATTTGCCGTTTCTCCTCTTTCTCCTGCTCTCTCTCTTTCTCCTTCACCAACTCCTTCTCCTTTTCTCTATCTCTCATCTTCTGCTGTTCCCACTTTTGATGTCTGTCCTCTGTCTCTGCACATCTGTCCGCGCTGTCAAGCTCCTGCTGACATAAATCGATCGAAAGACAGAATGACGCACAAATAACAATGACAAAAGACAAAGTATAGACGTCGGGTGAAGCGGAGTGACTTTACCTTGAGCGATAGGTATTCGTCAGGTGTCTGTTCGGTGCAGTCATTGGCATCGGTGATGGCAGGGGGAGGTGTGGGGAAATCCAGACTAGACGCCCTGTCTTTAGCCTGCACCGCCTTGGTGCTGCTCCTGCTGGGGACTGCGTGTGAAACAAAAGCAGGGTAGAGCTAATTTTGCTTATCCTTTTCCAAACCGTTCCTTTGATAAAGAGCACTACTTTCATCACCGATATCTCTCAGCATCCATGTTCAGCAGCTTTTCAAAACCATTTTTACTTTCATATACATGCAAAACTTGTTGAACACGCTGTCTTTGACTCTTCCAGGTTTTCCATGACCACCGGAACAACAGAGACATCATTAGAGCTTAAGGATTTCTGACAGACAGTTTGGTTAACTGCACAAATGAGCTTCTGTCTCCCTCTCAGCCACAAACAGTTCAGCCTTACCTTTCCGCTTCATGCCACTGTCAACATCTTTTCTAATTGGGGGTTTCATCATGCGGTTGGCGTAGATGTTCCTAGCATCCAGCTCTCTCTCCTTCTCCTGATAAGAAATCAACACAGTGAAAATGACATACGATGCTGCTTTTATACCCAGTCATAAAGCCGGATACAGTTTGTTCCAGTTGGTATTTCGAAGTGTATTTGTCTGTGTGTCAACCTTGAGTTTATTGGTCAGTCGTTCCAGCTCTTCCTGCAGAGTCCTGATCTCCTCCTGGGCACTGATTGTCTTCTTCCTCTCTGCAGCCAGCTGCCTCTGGTAACTGCTGTTGCTCAGCTCCATGCTGCGCTCCAGCTCCTTCAAACACACACGGATAAACAAACACATTTCCCAGTGTCCCCATGACAAAGAGAAATCAATTCTGAGAATGGAATTTCTTTCATGGATGTCCATACATACATATTTGGTGAAAATGAGCATGTGCAAGTGATTGTTTGTCTAGCTATAGTGTCATTTTGTAAACCAAACAGCAATAATTTGGTACCAAGGAGTCAAATTTGTAAGCTACACCTCAAGATGACAATGGAAATGGAATGTGCACAGGTTGTTTTTATCTCTGACCTGTACACTTGAGCCAATAAGATACTGTAAAAACAAAAACCTGATATATTTTGGCAACTCCCCCTGAATGAAATACAATTCAGAGGCTCTCAAATGTCTAGAGAACTGAAACATTTGCAAAGCCCAGCTCTATTATAAATAGTAAATACATGAAATCTACAATTAATTTACCTTAATCTTTCGTTCTGCCTCTTGAGCCCGCGTCTTCTCTTCCTCCAGCCTGCGGCTCAGCTCGTCTCTAGCTCCCAACTCTCGCTGGTCTACAAGCTTCTTCAGTCGCGCGATGGTCGCCCGACTCCTTTGCAGCTGCTCCTCGCTGTCCTTCATCTGCCTCTCGGCTACCCGTTCCCGCTCCTGAGTGCGCCTGAGCCGCTCACGCAGCACGTGGGTCTCGTTGTTGTGGCGCGCGAGCAGCTGGGAAATCTCGCTCTCTGTGTCATCGTAGCGCTGCAGGGCTTTCTCTTGGCGTACCTGAAGCTGCAGCATTGAAAAGATTAAATTCGATTTTAGGATTGATTGACTCTACATTTCCTGGTCTCATGTACTTAACCCAAACTTAAAGGAATACTTCAGCCCAAAATGACTATGACTTTGGGAAGAACTGAGCAAACGTGAGACTAGACGAGACAAAACCGTTTTAGAACGCTGCAGAGAAAAGTTGCAGTGGTGTTTCAATGTAACACGGGGTGCGTAACTGATATACAAATAATCACTGGGGGGAGAAGTATTCCTTTAAACAGAGGTGTAGGTCTACCTGTCTGAGAATTCGATTTTCCTTCTGCAACTCATCGGTGCGCTGCTGCAGCTCAGCAAGGGAGTTACGCAGTTCATTGATTTTTAGCAGGCGGGCCGAGAGCATCCTCTTGGTCACCAGGTCCAGATCTTTTGGGGGGGTGGACTCCTTGCTTTGTGAGTGCACTCCCTTGCGATGCTGCTGGGTCAGAGGCTGGCCACCTAAACGCTGCGGGCGAGACACGCCTCGGCGCCCCACACCACCTGCAATGTAGAGAAACACATGATGATGAAGAAATAATTTACAGGTAATGACAATGAACACTTCAACAGGCCAATACTGACACACATGAACTCTTGTAGTGGTGAATATAAGCTAAGGTTGAGTGTACAGATAGATCCAAAACAACCTTACTTAAAACTGCTCATACAAATCTTCATGTCTCAAAAGAGGATTTTGTCCTGCAGAGATCACCATGTTAAAATCTGCCCTACACTGCCATCATCTGGACAGTATTTTAACCAGTGAGAGTTAGGTTTCATCCATTTATCCCTCCATATATGATCATATCTTTGCTTTACACACCTGTCTTGTAGAAGGGGCTGTTAGAAATCCTCTTTGCCCGCACCCCTCTGTGAAGGGTAGGCGATGGAGTCCGGGACTGGGAGTACGGTGTGAGCGAGCCCTCTGAGGGTGAATCATTCTCATAGTCCTCTGAGTAAAACGACCCACTACTTCTCCGTCTCTCTCCATCTGATATCTGGTCCCGGTCTGGATCTGAACGCCAAGTTCGGGTTTTCGATCTACTGTCAGCACAGCCTTCTTTTTCACCCTCGTCATGGATCTTGTCCCGGAACTTCTTTTTGTGTTTATGGGAAGACGACGCTCGGGAATCCTTCTTTGTACTCCGGTGTGACTGACGACTTCGATCCCGGTTGTCTTCATACGGGTCAGCTATGTTTTCCGATTCCATGTTGTCACTTTGAGAGCAAATGCTGAGAAAGTTGGAAATAAGCATCAGATTTTAAACAACATTAGGATTTTTTTCTAAGCTACACCTTAACATAAAACTTTATTGCACAGGGTGCAACTAACCTGATTTAACAGACTTGAATTAAAAGTCCCCCAGTAAACTGACCTCATCATTTGCACCGTGCAACCCCGGTGATCATTCTTAAAATTCATCCAAAACAGTAATAAGAAGCCAGGCCAGCCAGTTTCTCTCAGGTTTTCCGTATTGTGTGTCTTGGTCACTAAGCGACAACACACATGAGGTGGAATTTTCCATGAGGCTGAATGATGTATGATATCACTACTCCACACCGCTGCTGCTACATAAAGAATACTAGCCTGCCCCCGTCTGCCCTGGTGACTTATTAAACAGCCAGATTATTACTCCTGACTGCTTTGAGATGCACACGTACACACATGTTCAAAGATTACAGATAAAGAAGAGGAAATAAAGTACAAATAAAAGTGATATTCATATGTCTTTATAAAGTTTTAACATACGCTGTATGAAAGGTAGAAGGTTGACCTTTTATGTTGCCAGCCTAATGGGTATATTTAGTTTTTCTACATCAGGCAAATCCTACATTAAACATTTCCACACATATGGCCAACACATTTTCTCTCTGGAAAAAGCCCATGTGTATGAAACATAAACAAAATGAAAAGGTCCAGCACCTCCGCTTTTTTTTTGTTGTTAAAGAAATAGTTTGTAAGTTTTGGGGGATTTTGTGGTGTCTTGTGGGGAGGACTGCAACTTTCATCCAGCTAAAACTTCAAAGTGAGTCAAACCATTAAAAACACTAAACAAAGCAGTTTCACGTTACAAATCAGTATTTTTTTTTTGCACTGCTTGCCACAGATTGGCTTCTAAATACAGTGCCCGACACAAAAACACAAATGGCCCTACCTATCTGTGGAGCTAGTGTTTGGTTTGTCTGTTCTGGGCTACTATAGAAACATAGTAGTGCAACATAGTGATCTCCATAAACAACTCCCCGTTCCATATGTAGATTTCAACGGCTCACTCTGAGGTAAGATAAACACAAAGATGCTTATTTTCAGGTGATTATACACTACAAAACATGGCTAAATCCTAAATCCTACACACTCGACCTTCAAAAAAACCTTGAGTACCTTGAAGAATAAAAATAGAATTCAAAAGCCAGTGTGCCCTTTAACATGTATGTTAATTGTGTGTAAAGGTCATGGAGTCATCCAGCCCTTTCATCAGCCCTCACAATTACAGAATCAATTGATGGGCAAGTATCTATGGCAACAACAGTACACACAGCACCGTCACCATAAATAGAACACAGCACACTTGTGAAGCAGGGCGATTAGGAGAGATCCTAAAGGACCTGAATACAAACCTGTTTTATAAAACAATGTTTTCGTTGTTAAATAGCTTTGCTGAATGAACAAACAGACTTGAGATATTAAAGGTCCAGTGTGTAGGATTTATGGGGATGTATTGGCAGAAATGGAATATATTCTAATAAGTGTGTTTTCGTTACCTTGAAATGAGACGTTTATATCTACAGTACGTAGGGAGCAGGTCCTTGTCAGCGGAGATCGCCACGTTCACCGCCATGTTTCTACAGTGGCCCAGACCAGACAAGCCTAACACTGGCATTCGATAGGGCTATTTGCATTTTTTTGTGTGTCCCCTCTGCAATGAGCAGCGTCAGGAAAACACTGATTTTTTTAACGTGAAACTGCTTATTCAGTGTTTTCACCAGTTTTAATCACCTGGTCTGTTTGTTTTGGAGTAGACAACACCTCTGTGGATTCTCCATCTCCTGCTAAAAACCTCCTAAACTATGATCGCTAAAGGAACTCTAACCAAGAGGAGTTTCAGCTGGTTGCGATCTGCAATCCTCACTGCTACATGCCACTAAATCCCCCTAAATCTTACACACTGGACCTTTAACAATAAAAAAAATGCCTGTCATGTTTTTCAGGGTGTCGACAGATATAACCAAGATCAATTTAGGACTTTTAAAGACCTTTGTAAAACCACCTTATATGAAATTTAAGACCAAAGAAATCAAAATCTAATCGCTGTCATAAATGCTACTTATTACTGCAATTCTTCGGTCTGTCCTGTGATTGTAAACAGTCATTGTGTCTGTCAGGCTGGAGACATTTAAGATCCATCGAATCTGAATTTAATAAAATTAAAGACTTTTTAAGGACCAGTTGACACCCTGTTCTTTATCCTCGCTAGTCTCTAGAGCAAAATATACACTAACAGACACATAGTAATGAAGGCTATTCATTCACACTGAATTACTTTACAGTTTTAGTGTCATTTTTGTCAAATGATCATGATGAAAATAAGTGATTTAATTATATAAATAACCATTATCATCACATATACCCAGATGCACAGTAGTATCAACGTCAGGGCATTTTAACACTCACCTCATAGCTTACTTTACATTATATGCTCATCATCTCTGCTGACATAATCCTTCACATCTTCTGCTTCATGGTGTTTAGTGTCCCTGGAGGCTCCTAATAACGCTAACAGCTGAGAAAGTCGATGCAGCCAAGTCACAGGCTCTCTGGTGACAACAAATATACAAACAGATGCGTGTTATCAAAGGCTAAATACAGCTATAGTAACAGTTTCTCCGGCCTGCTCTCCGTGACACGGACAGAGAGGATTAAAGCAGACCGTCTGCTGTTGACAGGTGCATTGTTGTCGTGACACTGCCTGACAGGTTAGAGAGCTACACTGTGGCTAGCAGCCAACAACACATCTCAGTGAGCTCTAAACTCGTATGCGAGCTTATTAAAATAGCTGTGAACAATAGAGGAAAGTAGACAGGTTTCCAAACAGCACTGTGGCGTACTGGCATTAGCATACGTTAGCTTTAGCTGGATGAAAAACTGACTTATGGATGATTGGTAGCATAGTTGCTAGCATAGCAACAAAACTAGCATCAACAGGTGGTTTGTGTTTTAACATTACCGCTTAGCGACTCCTGCCACCAACCTGCTCGTGTTCCGTTTTCACTCTTTAAATCTTGCTGCATTTGTCTGGTTTGCGAAAATTTTCCAGCAATAAACGGTTTCCTGTTTAGAATCGAAAAGCTAATGTTAGCCACATAGCTTCAACTACTAGCAAGCTAGCATGAACTTAAGCTAACTTAGCTACCGTTGGATATAAGCAGCGATGGCACAGACGTCCGCCCTTTTTGGATACAAACAGTCATTTCTGAAACGCGCCGTCCTGTAATTATCCACAGTAAAACTAAGATGGAGATATCCTGACAACCAGAGGCGTTCAGATGCTATTTTTTTCAGGTCCACGCCTTGAGGTTTGCTCCAGTCCACCGCCGACGCTGTACCATGGCAACCGCAGCACTCCCTGCAGTACCGCTGTAACACCACAGCGGCGCTGTTGTGCATGTTGTGATCATGGCCGTGATATAAATAGCTGCAAGTTTATTTATGCATTATGTGGATAAAGGTGACTGTAATCAATTGGCACCACACATGCGCTTAGTGTCTAATAGAAGACTATCAAGCTAGAAAACAGATTAATAAAAATAAATATAAAGATAAAAACACATTAATAATAAATACAAAATAAAAAAGACAAAGTTCAATTAAAAGCCAGGCTATAAAGGTAGGTCTTGAGTTTGCTTTTAAACACATCAACACTCTCTGCGGCCCTCGGGGCTTTAGGCAAGCATCCTTAAGCGATGCATGCATATTTCTATTGTGCTAACATTTGCAAGATGTGTGCATATATGATGTCTGTCACTGCAGCATTAATTGCTTGGTGTTTGAGATTTAGGTCATGACCCATCTGTGCTATATGTCCATCTGTGGCATACCATTGTCACAAAACTTGCAACATTCAGAGTTGCTGATATGATCTCTTCACTTTGTGCAATGCATATTGAAACTCTTTTATAGGCATATTGGTAGCAGTATCTCGAGTATTGCAAGACAAAAGCGCACGAGTGTGCAACTGAGCCATATTCCTCAAATTTAATTGAAATTTGATACATGCTGCTAAAATGACAAACACACCAGCTTGACAGAAAACAAACTTGCTGCCAGAATCCTGAAAACTACATTTCCCTGCTTTCAACCTCAGCACAAACCTCGCTCAAACTGTGCGAGGTACCTGCGTCAAGTTGGCTGATATAACTACAGTCCAGCGGAAGTAGAAAGGATTTTATTTCCCTTTCAAAATAAACATTTAAATAACCTTTAATTGAGCTTGGTTGAGAAATATGGGGAAACAAAATCTGGGTTTTTCACTTAAAAGCACACACAGACTATAAACTATTTGGGTCATGCCATAATAATTTAGTAATGTTATAGTATTGATGAATTTCACAGCATTAAACACTTTTCAAACACAGTTTTTGTTCTTCTTCTCCAAGAAAGAAAAAGTCTTAAAGAGTAACTTAGGTATTTTTCGAACTAGATCCTTTTATTCCATGTTTTTATGTCTAAGTAACTAATAGCAACCCAAGTTTTGAAACTGGTCCAGTATCAAGTGACAGGGCTGCAGACGGCAGCTGCAAAAAAGTTCATAGGCAATCGTGCACTATCAATTCATGTCCGCCAAAAGTGCTTGGTTTGGCTGCTGGCAGGTTCAGGTTGTTATTATAAGTGTCTGACAACATTATGAAAATGATCCCTTAAGAAGTTGATGTTATTGTTAAAGAGTAAGACCCTTTTTGTTTAACCAGAAACAGCCCTTAAATTGCTATTGTCAAACCTACCAGACTCCATTTGAATAAACAGTAATTTTAATATTGAAAAAGCCACTTTATTCAAGGTTGACAGAAACAAAATAAAACTCACAAAAGCCATCTTGGTTTTCCTTTCCACTGTTCCAAATATCACCAGCTCTGGTTTGGTTGAAAAAAACTTAATTCTCCCAGTTAGATGTGAAAATATGCTGGCTCTATATACACATTAAAATGACTGTTTATTTAAATGGAGTCTGGTGTGTTTAGCAATGGCAATTTTCTGGCTGACTGTGGTCAGACAAAGAGGCTGAGATGCTGAGGCTGGGCCTGGTTAACTTGTGTGACACACCAACAATAGATTTGCTGAGTTCCAAAATATGTAAAATAAATGTAGGCCTATTAATAAAAAAAAATCAACTTATTATAACGTGCACAAACTTGGAATTAAGATGATCACAGCCAACAAAGGAAAGTGAGGTCAATGACTCTCCCCAACCAAAAACAAACAAAAAAACACACACACAGGTGAACATCAGATGTTCATATAGATTATGTGTGTCATCACCCATACCCATGTGACCTGACTCTCCCATAACCACAGTCACACACACACAAAAACATAACCCAAAACACTAACAAAAAACACCAAACTCATCTGCTCATTATTATTATCATTATTATGTATTGCCGTTTCTTCTTTTTTTCTCCTTGACTGCTGTAACACTGGAATTTCTCAATTGTGGGATCAATAAAGTCGTGTCTTATCTTATCTTATCTTATCTAACAATACAAAAAATATAAACTATCCCAAAACTAAGTAGTCCAACTAATCTTAAAAATCAATTTCTCTCTAAATTAATTCATGGCTCCAACAAGGATCTTGCTGTTAAACTAAAAGGTTGAACTCTGACACTGTCAGTAACAATCTGAGCCTGTCAGTGGCAAAACAAGCACTTTTAATAGATATAAATTTGCTCAAAACTTGTCGTCTCCATTAGTCACTAAGACACAAAAACATGTTTAAATAAGTTCCGGGTTGAAAAATACCAAAGTTTTCCTTTAAATCCCTCCTTGGAACAATCACACTGTTTGACCGTGCTTTTATTTTGAAAGCTCAGACCGGAAGTCCAGTCTTCTATGCTGCCTGAAGCCTCAGTGCTGCTGAGAGGAGCTGCGAGCGCCACAGTCAGCAGGAGCGCACGCTGTTTTATTATCATGGCTCAGTTTAAATACTGGAGACGCGTGTGTTGCCTCCTCTGAAACACAGCCAGTAGTTCCAGTCTGATATTTTTGGGGAACAAACGGAACCAGCTGCCACCAAACAGTTTGTCGACTGTCAGACAGTAATTTGGGATTAAAATGGTCATCAAGGTTTACATCGCCTCCTCGAGCGGCTCCGTCGCGGTGAGTTTGTTTGCAAATGTGATTTCAGGCTTGTTGACAGTTGTGTATAAAGTGTGTGGGCATGTTACAGAGACATGTGGGAATATTAACAGTGTTTATTGGTGTTATGTAACTGGAGTGTGAGTGCGACTTAAGAGCAGTGAAAGTGATCAGCATCAGTCAGACAGGAAGGCAGGTTGAGATGCGCATTTGTAATTGGCTGAGTGATTTGTTGTGTGGTCTGGGCATGTGCTAATTTAGCCTGGTGCCTATTGTGTTAAGTGCCTTATAAAAAAAAAAAACAACCCTATATATATTTTTAAATTGAAATTGTATGGGGCCTTTATTATGTAGAAGCTGACAAAATAACAAATTCTTATCAAACTTATGTGTTTGATTTGCAGACATGAGTGGTCCATTCAAAAAGATAAAGTACTAGTCACACCTTACCATATTAACTATGACCTCAAACATGACATACAGTCAATGTCTCTGTGTTTGCCTTGTTAGATTCACTCACACAGCAGATATGTGTGTGTGTGTGTGTGTGTTTCGGAGTGACTTTACTCTTATTTGTGTTGTGAGATGTTAATTTCAACTCCCTCAACTCCTGAGTGACACTAGGGTGGGGTCCGTACAATTGAGCAGCAGCAGCTATTATGCAAAAGGCTTACTGGAAATTTATAGGACATAGATTTATGTCAGTACACTTAATTAGTAGGCCGTTTACTGGGGGTGTTGTGTAGGGTGGAAATAAAAGATCAACAGAAAAGTCCAGCTTCTCAGATGTGTTGTTTTTCTCGAGTTCTGTGTATGATTGAATATGATTTGGTTCTGGACTGAATGTCAGCACGAAAAAACATCTGATAATGTCACTTTGAGCTCTGAAAAACTACAATATGCCACCATTTTCTGACATTTAACAGACTTATAAGTTAATGGATTAAAGCTGTAGTTGGTCATAGAAATAACTTTTTGTCATATTTGCATGAGACATTACATGAGACGGATAATCTGTGTTCCTCTGCCTCCTCGTAATGCGTCTGATGGCATTATGTTCCTGCGCGTGAACAAAAACAACCAATCAGAGCCGAGGAGTCTTAGATGCAGTTGTCAAGCTTGTCAATCACAATCCGGTCTCACTCTGAAGTCCTCAAAATCCAATCCGACATGATATGCAGCCAGTCCCCACTTTAGTTTAACGGTCTTGGCGACATCAGCGGAAAAGTGGCGGGACAACAATGAAAGTTAAGGTGGCAAAACTAAGGGGGGGTGGATGGGTCCAACAAACACGACTTTCACCGGGGAGAGCTGTGTGTGTGTCGCAGATTAAAAAGCCAAACCCTGTTCTGTTTTTTCCAAAACCCAACCATGTGCGTTAGTTGTTAAAGGAAAAAAAAAGTCAATTCGCATTGTTGTACCAACGTAGTGCTTTTATTTTGAAAGAGACTGTATGTAAACGATAAATTTCCTGTGAAAACAGAAGTGTATTTTGAAAGAAGACAATGCAGGTAACAGGCAGAACTTGACACGGCATCCCAGAACATCAACAACCAATGCACCCAGGGTACCTTTCACGTCGTATCTGGGCATGGAAAGTCCATAACCAAACGTCAACATGTGACGAGGTTGGCGTGAGAATGTGTTAGTCAATCACCGCTCCTGAACTATGGTCAAACTGTCAAACTAGGCAGCGCTGATCAAATATGAATCAAGACTCTATCACTGCATTGCCTATTTCTCCCCTCAGATATTTTCAGAAATGTATTTAAGTGTACTGTATAGCTGTAAAATGAGAAAGCTTGAAACCTGGCCACCATTTTGGAAACAGTCGAGCCAAAAACTAAGCTCCGCCCATGAGCCAGAGCAAACCTTCTGATTTCACAGCTAAACAGTACACTAAAATATGTTTCTGAAAACATCTGAAGGAACAAGTAGGCAATGCAGTAACAGAATCCTGATTCATATTTGATCAGGCACAACACTTGGACAATATGCTTTGAAATACAGAGGACCGTTACTCTGTGTTATTTGTGTTTATTTGTCATGTGTATGTGTTTGTTTCATTTATGATTAATATAATTACTTGTTTTGTCTGTTTAGGAGAGAAATACCATTTGTGTTAGAGCAGATTTAAAATTCTAGAGGTGAGGTTTTCACCGTAAGCCCCTAAGGGTTTCTTACCTTTCCTTAACAATCCCTGCCCATGTTTATTTTAGTTTGACAGATTGACCGCCGTTCAAGAGCACGATTGCTAGCCACATTGCTAGCTAACAAACAAACGTTAGCTAGCTTTGTAGTGACTTTTTAACAAAACAAAATGGTCTAAAAAAGCCACTGAGGGGTGAATGGGATGTGTGTTCTGGGCTGCAATAAACCAATGTCCAGTGCGCTTTACCTCCTTGGATTTGGCGATCCATTTATTCTCAAAACAATATATACATGCTCACCAAAACACAGAACATGCGACAAACGTAATGCTTTTCAACAAGCTTCCACAACGCGGTCAAAAACCCATTCCACACTTGATTCTCATCATACATGCCCTTGACGCATGAAAGCTCCACTCGGCGTCCAGTTTAATCCCCAACGAAAGGAAACGAATACAAAGAATGTTATCGTGCTAACTAGCTTCAGGTACCATGGAATGTGATGTTTTTCGTACATTATCCATTTTCTGACATTTCACGCCTGTCTCCTGACTCACTGCCACCCGGGCCGCATCTGTCATGTGGGACATTTCATGGCCAATATCATATATTATCAGCTGGTTAGACACGGCAACAAGCAAAGTCAGCCACATATACTTCTTTGCTGATGGTCAAAGCTGTGACTGTGCTGCTTAAAGTTCAATAAAGTTGAACTCCATGTGATGCAAATTCGCTTTGCCACCACAAGCGAATGTTGTATTTGCTCCATCACTCACAGTGAATGGAAGTGAACACGAGGTGAGTATTCGCCAGTGTTAATTTCACTCATGTGTCACTGACTGCGCCTGTTGCAAATGTCATTAGAAGCATCACAAGGAGGAGAAGGTACCAGATTTTTTTCACAGACTATCCCTCCTTGTGTAGTTTTGTGTGGATGTAGTGACAGTTTCAACACGTATATGACAAATCATTATGTTTATAAAAGTTACCCATTGTATCTTAAATTTAAAAGAAATCCGATAATGAAAATAGTCGTTAGTCGAAGCCCTGTTCCTGTGGTGCCTCCTGGGAGACTACATCCACATGCCATGGCGAAGGCCCAGCTGATATTGAGTACCAGCAGAAAATCGTCAAACAACACTCCTACGTGAATGCTTCAACCCTTAGGTAATGGGGGAAATGAGTAATATATTTATTTTATCATGCTTCATCTCTAGAAGGGGGCAGCACAATCTCTCAGCGTTTACAAAGGAGTTATTTTTAACTCTATGACACATACATTCAAAACACACACTCTTTCTCTCTCACACACACACATGAAGCACAGTCATGCACGCTTGAACAGGTCCGCCATTTGGGTCAGCTATCTGAGCGTTGAGCTCATGTGAATGTAATTTACTGGGAATGCTTTTGAATTGGGTTACATGTGATTGGATGAGGAGGGAAGGTGAGACTGGATCCCTCAGCTGAAACTGAAATGGGTGTGTGTGAGACAGAGATGGAGGGAGACAATAATACTGTGAAAGACAGTGAATTCTGGAGGACAGACAGGTGAAGGACGAGCAGGAGTGTGTGAGCAGACTGAAGGGGAAGCAATAATGAGGCCACTTCAGTGTCCCCCCGTGAAATGAGCAGTTCACAGCTTAACAACAGCAGATTAGTGGGGCGGAAATCATCAGCGCAGAATGAATGAAGTGCAAATTAGGTTACACCCCCCACACAACGCCCCCCACACTCCTCAGTGGATACTCATCAGGTCCAGTCTCGACAATTTTTTTACATTTCATTGCTGTTTTTGTAATTTGCTAATGTTTCAGTGATTATAATAAATGTAGTTTTTAATAATTGAAAATAGTCTCCACCATGTGTCCTCACATTATCTAAGGAATGAATTCATGCTTAGAAAGCGTAAACCCCCCTCTGACAAATACTGTGCAATGTAAGTTAATATAGTTTTTAGTGGTATAGCGATACAGCCTGCTGTAGATCCAACAAATAACAAGTTTATATTTTTTAAATGTTTCGATTTTTTTTGTGTTTCTCAGGATATGTTTTTTTTGTTTTTGCAAGAGGTGTATTTTGTAGATTATTTTCCAAGTACTGTCTTTTCTGTCTATGACTGCAGGATTAATCTAAAAAAACATGTTATCATTTTTAATTTTTTTTCTTTTTGTAAAAAAAAAATAATGTGTATTTGTGTATTTAATTTATTTTTTTTAATTTAAAATACTTCTTTTTACTACTGTAGGATTAATCTAAAAACCAAAATTATAGTTTTGATTTTTTTTCCCCCTATTTTTTCTGCTCAGGAGAGGTGTATTATTTTATTTTATTTATGTATTTATTTGCTATATTGTGTGTCCCTCTGTGTCCATGACTAAAGGATTTTTATTTATTTAAAAAAGCTTATAATTTATATATATGTAAATATTTTCTTTTTTTTTTGCTCAGGAGAAGTGTATTTAATTTAAAAAAAAATAATTTAAAACATTTCTGTATTTCAGGTGACTGTAGGATTAATTAAAAAAAAGTTTATAATTTTCAATTTTTTGTTTTGCTTTTTTTTTGTTCTGGAGAGGTGTATTTTCTTTTTTCTTTTTCTTTTTTGTTTTATAATTTAAAATGTTTCTATTTTTTAGGTAGTGTTACAGCCTATTACAGGTCCAACAAATAAGAAGTTAATATTTTTTTAATTTTCTTATTTAAATTTTCTTTTTTTCATTTTCTTTTTTTTTTAATTTTTTTCTGTCCCAAGCCCTCTCTTTTTCAAAGTATCTTTCTGTCCATGACTAAAAGATTGGTTGTTTATTAATTTTAATTTATCTTTTTAATTTTCTTTTCTTCTATCCCAACTCCTCTTTTTCCTAATTTCCTTCTCTGGCTGTGACAAAAGGATTGGTCTTAAAAAACTTAATAATTTAAGCATTTTCTGTTTTGTTTTTTTTCCTCAGGATTGGTGTAATTTATTTCTTGTTTTTCTAACCTGTCTCATCTCTTTCTCCATGTACCCCTTCTATCTGTGACTAAAAAAATAGTTAAAAATAATTAAGTTTATAATTTTGAAATTTCCTGAATTCTTTTGTTTGTTTTTTGTTTATTTTTTTGCTCAGTAGAGCTGCATTTTATTTCATTTTTTCTATCCCATGCCCTCTCTTTTCCAGTGTTCCCTCTCTGTTCGTGACTAAGGGATTAACCTCCACTTAATCCCTACATTTAAGAACGTGCTCTCAAACAATGCATGCATACTCAAACACTGTAATGTGAATGTTTGTTGGGGAGTGCAATTTGTGTATGTGTCTTTAATCCCACAGGCACACCAAAATCTGAACACATCCAGCCCCTGACACACACTCTCACTCACCCTCACTGGGGGGGAAGCTCTTTCATTATTTAGGCTCACGCTGCCAGCCTCTCAGCTCAGAGGAAGGTCATGTTATTTGTATCATAGTGGAGAGCAGCAGTGTGATAGACAGCTTAGACTCAGACCACTGACACTATATGGAGTGTAACCTTTGGCCAAAGTAAACAGACATTTGTTTCCCTTTAAAGATTGAATTTATTGGTGCGATTGATTTACTTTGTTGTGAGAGTCCAGATGAGACTTACACACAGAGACAATTGTTGTCAGAGAGAAGACACAACAGATGATCTTGTTTGGGTGTGTTTCTACAATAAACTTCCCAGAACAATCCCTCACTGTCGTCAAGGTTAAACAATAGCTGCATTGTTACGCTTAGCATCAGTTAAATGAAAAACACACATGTCATGTACACACACACAAGCACACAAGGGACGGATATCATGAAACCTGATTGTGTCAGGGTCAACTTCGAAAAATGTTTCCACAAAATAAAAGCCTCTGTTTATATTTGTTCACACTGTCTTGCCCCCAGATTATTTTGAATAATTACTCCTTTTGTCATGTTAATGAATGCTCAGGCATACAAGCATGGCTGAAAGTGAAATTATTACCGACTCTGCAGTGGTTCCAAAAAGAGGAGCAGCTTCAGTAGTGTGGAATAAACTGTGGCATCCTGAATGTTTTATGAACAGCCCCGGACTTCCATGATTTTGAGTCCATGATTTTGTCATAAACCTTTGGTAATGTAAACCTACATGACGTTCACAGCTCGACAGCTCGATCTTGGAGCTGTTTAAATGTGTAATTTGTGATTGGTTTTATTTTGTTGAACTATTAATATTGTAACAGAATCTGAATCTCACTCTGAGTTAGGGCTGTTTCATAGTCGACGCAAAGGCACACAGACGCAAACGCATTGGGACACATCGAGACGCGTTGGCCGCCATGATGTGTGCTTGCCTCTCAAAATGTGTTGTCCTTTTTTTTTTTTTTATACGCGATGCAGTGACGTGTGTAATACCATGCGTTGCCAGCAGGGGTGATAATTCAAGTGACGTACTTGAAATTAACCACTTTTTCTTATTCACAGACGAAGCAGGTATGAAATATGGCGGGCAAGGAGGAAAAACTTTGCAAACTTGTACGGGCACACCCCCATTTATATAACAGTTCTAGTGCCCTGCACTCTAATAGAATAGCAGTACTAACTAGCTACAGCAGTACTAGCTAGCCGGAATGTACCGGTGACTCTGCTACCCCCTATGGCGCGAGCGATGTATTGCATTTTAAGTGTCGCCCGCGTCGCTTGCGTTCAGTGTGTTGACGATAGGCCCGTTTCCACTGAAGAAGTTCCTGGTACTATCTGGGGGGCAGGAACTACTACAGGAACGTCCTCTCGCTCGGCCCTCTCAACCGCCGTGTCTCCACTGAGAGAGTGGAGTAGGAGGAAGGTTCCTGTAAAGTTACGGGCTCTGGATGTGACGTAATCGTTGCGTGACATTTACCGGGGCGACGTAGGGACGCCGTTAGCTGATAGCCCTTAGCGGTGTCTGTAATAACTCACTAAATGGCCCGTGAAAAAAAAATCCAGCGGATGTTTTAGTTACAACATGATTGAGCTAACTGGAGTAGTTTTATGTCGTATCCGACAACGGGAGGTTTTTAACAGATGACGTCCTGATGTTAGCTTTGCTAACTGTCCCTGTCAGCTGCAGCCACTGATGCTTTCTAGACATCGTGATTTCCCAAAACTGAATAAATACCACACATAGCAACACAAAACTGCTTTGTTAGCTCAACCATGTTGTAACTAAGATATCCGCTGGAAAGAATATTTTTTTCACGAGTTTTTTTACATGGCGGAGGAAGCTATATGAATGAGCTAATCCTCGTCTGCTGAGTTTTAAAAATGCCGGCTATTTTGTTGCTTTCTGTTGACATCACATCCCTCCTTGAGTATATCCAATCAGCACAAAGTAATCCCCAAGCCCCAGCCGGGAGTCTTTCGGGGTCGTTCTGAGTACCTACTCCGAGGCAGGGACTTGTTTAGCCCCCGTAAAAGTTCCGGAACTCTGTCCTTCGGGGGTGGTTCCTGTGGTGGAGACACGCACCAACGGCCCCGGCCCCGTAAAATTACCCCGAAGTTCCTGCGGTGGAAACGGGCCTTATGAAAGGAAGTGTATTGCTCGCGTCGCTTGCGTCGACTATGAAACGGCCCTTACTGTTGTTGTTTACAAACTAAAGAAATGAGAGGGAATTTTAATTTTTACTGAATATTTGAAGGCAAACTGTAAAACTATATTACTTATTTTGTTGCAATACTGTTTTCTTAAATTAATTAATACATTTTTAAAACTAATTTGTCATATCGAGAATATCATTATCACAAAAATACCTTGAAATATTGTGATAATATTTTAGGGCCATATCCCCCACCCCTACAAGACGTGGGCTATACAGAGCCCACAGAGTCCTGAAACGTGATATATTTTATTTCGTTTTCGTTTTTTAAGTTAACTATCTGTTGGGAACACAAGGTAAACGTCAGGAGCTCCGTGGGACTGTCTCTGAAGTGTGTTTTCGACTTTCCCTTCCGTGGGAGTTTTCTGTCTTCTAAAAATATCCTTGATTTTTTTTTCTTCTTCTCTCAGCATTGACAAACACTGTCACACAGTTTCAGTCACAGTCAGAGTGTCCCAGAGCACATACATGAACAATACCACAGGGAGCTGTTGCATCCATCCTGAGACCATGAATGGGAAAGTTTGTTGCATAGTCGTCAGGACGGGCTCCCTCTTGGCTTGGGAGGTGCAAGAGGGCACACAGCTGCAGTCATGGTTGAACTATGTCTACACAAACACTAATTCATTACTTTTATAGAACAGAATGATAATAATAAGTAATTATATATAGAGATGTATGATGGATTTTAGCGTATAGCCTCCTCTGAAATCCAGTACACTCTACTGATGTACTATAAGGTGATACTGTACTGTACAGGAGAAGGATGTCAGCGCTCCGATTTTAATCATAATCTCCTCCACTAATCAATAATCCTTCTTAATGACCAGCTGAGTTGCTATATAGTGAATACATACAGTATACTCCACATGTGTGCTCTGGTTCAGTGGGTGTCAGCTTACTGTTTGTCATTGCAGGAGTGTAAGCACCCAGCTGCTTGGTTGAGAGCAATGTGCATACACAGAGGGAAAGCCACACACATAGTGTCCAGCTCCTTTATGTCCACATACATTAAGGCAATATGAGTTTATGCCTTTGGTCACATTAGCTCATTATTAATGTAACAATTGTCATTTTTATCATAATGTACAACTGTATCCCAAACCATCCCTCCTCCACCCTCTTTCTTCCTTGTGTCCGTTTCGACCTGTCCCAGGTAAAAAAGCACCAGCAGGCAGTGGTGGGTTTCCTGGAGGCCAACCGAATCAGCTTCCAGGAAGTAGACATCACCATGCTGGAGGAGCAGAGGCTCTGGATGTACCGCAACATCCCCAGAGACAAGCAGCCGGAGAAAGGCAACCCACTGCCTCCGCAGATCTTCAACGAGGATCGCTACTGTGGGGTATGATGGATGTTTGTTTGTGTGTGTGATATAATTGGAGACAGTGCTGTGGGAGCTAATTTTAGTTTGTTTACTGGGAGATCTCGGATGTTTAAAGTTTAGGACCACGTTCTGAAGGGCCATGAGATACAGTCTATAGTCAAACAGTCAAAACATTTATCTACAGCCTGTATTATGTGGCAGGCTGACAAAATATGCACAAGACATTAAACGAAACATCATTCCGGAGCTGAGGATGCAGCAGACTGATAGCAACAGACAGATGATTACTGTAAAATTGGTTATCTTTGTGTCACTTTGCATTACATTAACAAGTGGGAGCTTACTGAGCGAGGGCTTCCCGCATCTAAATTGGACAGCGGGCCTGCGTTACGTAAAACTGCATGATGGCAAAGTGATGTGTATAATCATGGGCGAGGTCCCTGGACTTAAATTAACAAGTTAGTGCAGGTCCGGATTTGACTTGGAGGAAATTACGAGTTATGGGTCGGTTCTGTTACTGGACACTGCAGATGTGTGGATTTGCAAAACTAGCCCTGTACAGGACTCTGCTTTAAGACGCATTCACACTGGCACTATTTGGTCCACTTTAAATGAACCCTGGTCCGCTTTCACAGATAGTTTGGCTCCTTTGGAGTGGTGTGAACGCTCATTCTGACTCTGGTGCGGACCAAACGAGCGAACCCTGGTCCGCTTGAAAACAGGGGGTCTCGGTTCACTTGCAAGTGAACCCTGGTGCGGTTCGCTTACAGTGGGAAATGCAAACAGACTATCCAGCAGATCAAAGAGAGGAAGTAAACCAAAGAGAGGAAGTGACGTAGAGCACATGCATTTTGGCGTTTGGTGTTTTAGTGGTGACCCGGCTGAAGGGGATGGATTTCCATTTTCAGTCCTGGCCAATCAATGAGCCAGGTTTTATTCTTCCTCATGCTTTTTTTCTTCCTGGTCAGTGGTCCTTTCGGGCAGTACTGTCCCCAAATGAGCAGCTGTTGTAACTGCGTGAAGTTGTCCAGGCAGTTTGGTCTGCTTTAAAAAGTGCAGTGTGAAATTTTTTGGCATTCCCCGCCCAATCCAACCAAGTCCCCCGGACTATCCTGGTGTGAATGCGCCCTTAAAGTCACAGTGAAATGGTAGTTAGAGCAATTAAATCAAATTTAGAATCATTATTAGGAAATGTAAGCAAAGGTTTTACCAATTGAGATCCAAACACACTCCGTAGTTTCGCTCTGTTAGTTTCTACAACCTACAAGCAAGTGTTGTCTCATGTAATGGACAGAGTAAGCTAACTGCCCCAAAGCACATTTGATTGGATACTTTTTTGTTGCTAAATTCAAATGACATATCAAAAATATTGTAATTTTACAGAAGGAGTAAAGAGAGGCATTTTGATAAAAAAAAAATAAATATTGACTTTTTTTTGTAAACCATGAAATTTTATATACATGGCTGTTTGTTAATGCTCACACTGGTTATGTCAGTAGTTCATATCAATGTCACTCAGTACAAGGTTGAGCAGGAGCGAAGCCAGACATAAGCCCCTTTTACACTGACAGAATTTGGCGATTGTTGGGCCGTTTTGCCGGCAAGCTGCGAGTGTTTAGACACACAGAGCCAGATTGGCAAGTTGATTCGAGGTGCCCAATTTTCCGCCTCGTAGTACTGAACTGCCAATGCTGAAAGAAGACTGATTGGGTTTTCCTGCAAATTTGCACAATTCCTATCTAAAATGGCTATAGAGACAGACAACCATTCATACTCACATTGAAACCTACAGACAATTTAGATTCACCAATCAACCTGCATGTCTTTGGACTGTGGGAGGAAGCTGGAGTACCTGGAGAAAACCCACACTCACATGGGGAGAACATGCAAACGCTGCACAGCAGGGCTCCGGAGGAAGGAGTCCCTGCATTATTCTGGGAAAAACATGATAGTTGCCAAAGGGAAAAAACATCCTGTAGATCCCATATCCCATTTTATATCTACTTTTTCTCTAACTGTCTTCATCATTCTGAAGCCGTAGCACAACAAATGTTTAGGATGAGTCATTTTCACTCCTCAGACCTCAAAAAAGGAAAAATGGTCTGATGTTACTATTTTTAAGTTACTTAACATAGGTAGGGTAGGAATTTGGCCTAAGGACCATTACTAATCTTGAGACCTAGTTTAGCCATACTGTGCTGGAGTAACAGAATGAATATTTATTTAACAAATCTGCTCTGTTTGAATCCATCCCCTAATAATCTGGGCTGCTCTGACTGCAAATCAAGGATCCATAGCAAACAGGGTCTTGAGTAATCTGAGTTGAATGTTTGGCCAACAGAACATTTGCTCAATTATTTTAGATTTCATCAGGGAATAGTGAAGCAGGATAAACAACATGGGTCAGAATATTATCTGAATGACGCAAAGTTGAAGGTATTTTTAAAAGCCGAAAACATTCGAGCCTGGAGGCTCCTGACACCACTCCCCTCTCCGCCCCTGAGGTCAAACTACCTACGCTCCTACGCTGGTGAATGAGTTTGACCAGTTAGTGCTGGCCAGTTTGTGTCCTCCGCTGAGTTTGCACGCCACTCTGTAATCCCGCCTTAATCCAGTTTCACGGATGGGGCAGATTATCTGCTCTGCCTGCCGTCACTCTCACTGGCCAAGGTAATCCAACATTACTCTGCAGTGTCATGGCCACTATATTATATTAAAAGCAAACATGCTGGGATCTTTTGGCAGCGATGTTTACAACCATGTTTCAGATTTACACATTATGTAACATCCTCTTTTTTTTTTGTCCCCCCCGCCCCCTCTCTCTTTAGGACTATGAAGACTTCTTCCAGTCAAAGGAGGACAACACTGTGTTTGCATTCCTTGGGCTCAGCTCCCAACCCTCAGTGAAAGTAAGGGAGAGTATACAGGCATTTGAAGAGACACACACACACACACACACACACTGCTGTCTCCGTGGTGTAAATCACACAGCCAGCGAGGTTTGCTGTCAGTCTCGACTTCCTCAAACGCCGAACGCAGTGCCAGTGGACAGAGTTAATCTCAATGCTCAGACGACGAGGAAAACAAATACAAAATATCTCTCATCTTCATACTGGAATTGGACTCGGATCACGTCTGTGCTGGTGAAAGAACATTTCAGGGACCGTTCGATGATCCACTCAGTTAACATCAAAGGATCTTATTTCCATTCATCACTAAGGAGCATTTATTTGATTTTCCTGCAGTCGCATCCCTTTTCAGCCTCTCCTCTAGAGGTTGATTAGATAACTGAGTTAAAAGAGATCTGATTACACCGGCAGGATATTGCAGAAACATTCACCGTGGACATGATTCATAGATGTCTGGCTGTATAGTAGGGATGGACCCGAGGCTGAATATGATATTTGGGAAAGCACAAATAATGTGATGGAAACAGATGTTGATTCTACCTGAAGTGCTCATTGTTATTCAGGGGAAATATTGACATGTTTGTGCATCATGTTTCTTCTAATCGATTCATATCATTATCTATGACCACAAAATAAAAATGCACAGTCTGTTTGCATTTATTTCATGGCTATTTTAAGTGATTTCTTTTTGAAATGTTAGACAATACTTGTTGAAAACATGCTGTTTCTTTGTCCAGGATTTTTTGGGCAGGTCTGAAATCATGGCTTGATGACACACTGGAGCTATCCTTAAAGGGATAGTGCACCCAAAAATGAAAATTCAGCCGTTATCTACTCACCCATATGCCGAGGGAGGCTCAGGTGAAGTTTTAGAGTCCTCACAACACTTCCGGAGATCCCAGGGCAGAGGGGGTAGCAAAACAACTCCACCTAATGCAGGCTGACGGCACCCCAGATTAAAACGTCCAAGAACACCGAACTGAAACCATAAAATATCTCCATACTGCTTGTCCGTAGTGATCCAAGTGTCCTGAACCCCCGACATAAAAAGTTGTTTGGAAAAATGTCATTTGAACTCTGTTTTTAGCCTCATTGTAGCCTGTTGCTCTGACTGCTTCTGTGTACACCGAGCTCACGTGTGTGTGCTTGCGCGGGAGACCAGCGAAAGCACGTGAACACACATGAAGGCGGTGCCCATGTCTCACGGTCTCGCGCAAGCACACACACGTGAGCACGGTGCCCAGAGAGGCAGTTAGAGCTACAGGCTACAATGAGGCTAAAAACAGAGTTCAGATGACGTTTTTCCAAACAACTTTTTATGTCTGGGCTTCAGGACACTTGGATCACTACGGACGAGCAGTATGGAGATATTTTGTGGTTTCAATTATGCATTTTTTGGACGTTTTAATCTGGGACGCCCAGCCTGCATTAGGTGGAGTTGTGCTGCTACCCACTCTCCCCTTGGATCTCCGCAAGGGATGTGAGGACGCTAAAACTTCACCTGAGCCTCCCTCGGCATATGGGTGAGTAGGTAATGGCTGAATTTTCATTTTTGGGTACACTATCCCTTTAAGATAACCTCTCCCCAACTATATAAAACTTACTACTAATGTGAAAGTGAGTTGTTTCATTCGGCCCCCAGAGAGTTTGTTGCGTTCCACGAGCTCTCTGAGCTATTTTAGTCTGTTAAATGCCACAATCGTAAGACAAGAGCAAAATAGCTGTCACTAACGCACCTTTCAGTCTTTCAGCCCAAATCAGCTACGCAGCTCACCTGCAGTTATTGTTTACTGCTGATACTGCTGTGTGTGTGTGTGTGCGTTGTGCTAACGTTAGCTGCTGAATGAGAGGCTGTTGGCGTGCAGCTGCCCTCTCATTATTCAGTTCAGAGGGTGAGCGCTGTGCTATTATTGAATGTGTGTGCTACTGTGTTAGCTGCTAACGAGAGTCTGACGATGCCCAGGTGGTTGTTCTTCAGCTCAGGGGTCGTGTTTGTTACTCCTGTGCTACTGAGTTAGCTGCTAATAAGAGTCTGTCGCTAATGTTAGTTGCTAATGAGAGTCTGATGATGCCCATGTGGTTGTTCTTCAGCTCTGGGGTTGTGTTTGTTACTCCTGAGCTACTGAGTTAGCTGCTAATAAGAGTCTGTCACTAACGTTAGCTGCTAACGAGAGTCTGACGATGCCCAGGTGGTTGTTCTTCAGCTCTGGGGTCGTGTATGTTACTCCTGTGCTACTGAGTTAGCTGCTAATAAGAGTCTGTCGCTAACGTTAGCTGCGAACGAGAGTCTGTCGCTTCACATTAGCTTGTTTTTTAGATTAGGAGGTGTGTATGTTACTATGCTACTGAGTAAGCTGGTAACAAGAGTGCGTCCTTTCACAGCAGCTCGTTTTTTGACTCGGGGGGCTTGGTTACTGTGCTACTGAGTTAGCTGCTAACAAGAGTGTATTTTCTCGTCACTTATCTGTGGCTTGAGCTTCAGCTCAGCTCCTTTGGCGGACATGCCCCCAGCGTTTCATCGAAAGAATTCTGCACATTTTTCACAGCTTTGAAACCTAATTTTATATATATTATTTTTTTAATCATTCTAATTTGGCTTGGTGGTTAAAACACATTTTCTTTGATGTGACACACTCGTTACACATATTTATTTTTGCTTTACCTGGACTTTAAACAGAGTTGGGACATAAATGTGTTATTAGGAAATAAAAGGTCCAATGAAATAAATAAAAGTAGTCTTTTGAAAAATGTTTGTCTTTTTTAAAAATAATGACCTATTTATTTATTTATTAAAAATACAATGACTCATTCATATATTCATTCATCTTATATTTACAATTATTTATATTACTATATTATAATACTTCCTCATTTATTTATTTCAGGATTTATACGCGTATAGACAGTTCATAAAACTTAGTTTACTTAAAATAAAAAATAAGACAGTGAGAGATATGAAAAGTACAGTGCGATGATGAGGAAATATACGTCATAGTTAATTATTCCATTATTGAAGCAATTTTGGTGCTTGAAAGCACAACAGTTGCATTGTCAGTGAATAATAGTTAGAAAATGTGTCCTAATTTAACAGGACTCCTGGTATAAATCACCCACTTCTGGTCTTTTATCGGAATACAGATAAAATATTTTTTTTTAGTTGAGCAGATACAGATAATGACGTCTCTGTACATCTACCATGTAGCATGTGCAGTCTTGTAAAGCTAATGTTAATGATTGTTTAATCTCTGTACCCTTTCCCCCTTCTCTCTAGGATTCTGAGTCATAGCCTGGATCAAACTGCTGGTATGTAACGTCCAGGGAACCTCAAGATACGAGGACAAAAACTGCATCATTTCCCATGTTCTTCCTCCTACGACGACGACAGCACGTTGCCAAACATCAGACCCTACGGATTTCACCCAGTATGACCTCTCCTGACTCTTTAAACAACATTCCACCATCACTTAAAGAAGTGTCTGATTCTCAAGAGAGACTTGATCACAGAAGGAGGGGACTGACTTTATGATGGATGCAATTGTGTTTCCTTTTCTTGTTTAGCACACACTGTGATCGGCGGCAAACACTGTCAGTAGCATAGATTCTGTGCACACTAGATGTAGCAGCTTAAGCATCAGTAGACGAGTAAGTTTAGGTCAATCTGAATTGCAGTGGATGGGGAAAGAACTGGTTGGGTGCAGCAGTGCAGCACAAGTCACCTGAATACACACCCATGTTGCGTGTGTATGCCTTAGTGTGTGTGCGTGTGTGTGTCTCAATCAGCAGCTGTTAATGAAGGCTGTGTTAAGTGATGGGACCTGAGAGGCGGCACTTAATGCAACCTGAAACAACCCGAGGTCTAGCCATTATGTCTGGCTGTGTGTGTGTGTGTGTGTGTGTGTGTGTGTGTGTGTGTGTGTGTGTGTGCGTGCTTTAGCAGAGGTGACGGTGACACTGCAGTTTGCCACAGCAGATGAGACCAAATGCTAAGAATCTTAAAACATACGAGGGATATACATGATACTCAGAATCATTGCCAGCATTTAAAGGGACAGTTCACCCCCAAAATCAAAAACTAGAGTTACTGTGGTCAGACATTAGGAAAGAAACATGATGACAATGCACCTTAAAATTACTCAGAGCTCAGTCAAGGTTCCACTTTTGAACTCTGGTTTCCAGGGGAATATCCTGTGATTTGCCATCCTCCCACCACCCCAACCTGTCTCTTAATAAGGACTGTTCCCATCTTTACTCCCTTCAGCCCATGTGGTCATGTGATCGCAGCCTTCCCATAATGACAATGGATATGTACAACTTTTGGTGCATTACTTATTGTAGGAAAATTAAGAACAGTGCAAGAGAACAGCCTGATATAATGGAATTAGATGGCACTGGGCTTGTGGTGCTGAAATCGCCAAAAAATAAATTTGAAAAACTCAACAGCACTGTCTCTTTGCAGAAACCATGACCTGATAACTCAAAATAATCCACATACCTTGTGTGACTAGTTTCATGTAGGAACTATTTTCTCTGGACCAAACCACATCTGCCAACCTTATCATCGCGCAGAATGAAGCATTTATCTACTGCTAGCTCACCTAGCACCACTGAGCTAGCTAACATTACAGCTCAGCTGAGGAGGACGACATTAATGTTTACATCTCGCGCTGTCAGGAGCATGAAACTCTTGTCCATGAGTAGATGCACTCTTCCTTCTGCGTGGTGATTGTGGGGTGTAGTTCAGTAGTAAGAAAATAGTTCCTCCATGAAACTGCTCACAACAAGGTCTGTGGATTATCTTGAGTAACCAGGTCATGAATTCTGGAAAGAGACATTGCTGTTGATGTTTCTCAAATGTATGTTTTTGGTGCTTTGAGCACCACAAGCTGAGTGCCATCTAGTTCCATTATATTGGAAAAGACAGACATCTCTACGGCCGATATCTCCAACACTCCGCAACTCACACCCAAACTATCTAGACTGATAATTAGCACTACAGGTAAGAGGAGAAATATGTACTTTTGATTTTATGGTGAACCATCTCTTTAAGTTTGTAGCCACTGTCAAATAAAACAGATGTTCTTCTATCATTCCACTGCCAACTAGTTTAATTAAAAGACAAGGTGGCTGTTATTCTCTATCTTTTTCTAGCTGTCTACAAATCAAAAAAGATGACCAAAGCCAACAATGTGTTAGTCTGCTTTTCAGTACATTCTGATACAAGTTCTCAGCCCATTTGTCCCTACTGAAGGTGAAATACTTTAAAAACAGGTTTCAAATATATAGTTTCATTTATTTAAAGGCCAAGTTGTTACCCAAAACAGCTGGGCATTGTAGTTTTTAGCAAAAATGAGTAAATAGCATTTGTCAGGGCTATTTTAAGACGTGGATTAACACACATTTGATTACAGCAGTAGTATTTACAGCAGCAGGACGGTGTTTGTCGGATTGACTCAACGTTAAACTACAGTGCCCAGGTTCATTATAATGACAGAACATGTCACCCAGTGCAACAGTGCGGCTCATTCATGTGTTTTTGATAGTTCTTGGACAACAGTGGAGCCCTGTGGCACAGAGGAGTAAGATATCAGGCTCTAGCTGCACAGACAATTTGTCAGTCGGATCAATTTATTGTTGGTTTTGGTCTTTTCGTGGGATTTGTTGATAACATGAAAAATATTGCCAGCTTCATCCTCTAATCCAGACAGCTATAGACAAAGCATGTTTACAATCAGGGTCGCATGAGTACACCTCACAGATTATTACTCCGAGTCTTATCAGACAGAGGACAGGAGATAAGATATCAGAGATAGTGGCAAAGCTCTGCACAGACAGACCTAGACTCTGCTTCCCCTTCTCTTCATATTACCAAATGATGGGAGCAGACTGCCCTCTGTGTGTTTAAAATATTATGAAATGAAAACAGGTTGACACATCATGACCAACTCATAGTCCTGTCATCCAGTGTGTATTCTGTGGTCTCCGTCCCCGACACCAGCACTAAGCATTTTCTCCTCACGTCTCTCATCCTTATTAAATTATCACGGGTGGGTGGTCGACTAATTCCTTTATGTTCACACATGAAGGACACAGAAGCAGATGCACCCTCACTTGCCATTCCTCTCTAAATGTCGTGCCATCATGTGAAAGGTTGTCATTTTATTTAAGATCATGTGGGGGACATAAAAGTTTATCCGTCACTGTCGACACTACATTCCTATTTGCTAAGGTGTATCCTCATGTATCGTGAAATCATGTGAATATTTGTGAATGTAAACTGACTAAATGTACTTCATGTTACACACCTCTCTGCCCATGACTCTGTTGTGCTTAATTGTTATATATTTTTCTGTTTATGAGATACTCAGTGATACTTTACAGTGTTAAAGCAGATTACAGTTTTTTAAGTTAATTTGCCTCAGTGTTTTTCACGTGTTCATGAAAGACTCAGGGGTGCACCGTCAGGAGATGCAAACCCGGCAAATGATTGGGGCCACCCATGAAATTTTGGAAAAGGGCCTCAGATGGCCGCTCTGATTGGTAAAATTTGCGATGACAGCAATAAACCTAATAAACTTACTAGGGATAGACAGATATGGATTTTTTAGGGCCGATGCCGATACCGATTTTTTTCCATCACCCTTAGCCGATGACCAATTATGGACTGCCGATTTTCTTGAGCCGATATTTGGGGCCGATACTGCTTTTGCTCCCTCAATTTACATTAAAAAAAAAATGACACAATGATAACAAATATTACAGGTCTCAAGTTTAAAATAAGAAACATTTATTGAACAGTAAAAAATACTAAAACAAGATGGAAAGTTGAGGTAGAACAGGTAGAATATTATTATTATTATTATTATTATTATTAGACATTCAAATAAAAAAAAGAGTTCAGTGCTCTTAAATCTTCCAGTAATATCTTTATAAAATAAACAAATATTTAAGCTGAAGCATAAATAAAACAACAACTACTGTACACAGTAGGATTCGCTGCATGTGCGCTGCAGGGTCTTCCGGCAACACAGAGCTGCCCGTGGATGCCTGTCTGTAAATCATGTCAGGGAAAAATAAATCTGCGAACCCATGCGCGTATCAGCCAATGCCGATACAAGTAAAAAAACTCAAATATCGGCCCGATATATCGGCCGGCCGATGTATCGGTCTATCCTTAAAACTTACCATTAAAGGTCTATACAGTTATGTATGTGTACGAACACGAGGCAAGTCCATTCATTCCAATGGGAATCTCTGTGATATCCAATGAACCTGTGAAACTCCTCCCCTCTGCAATTTGCCTCAAGTACTGTACATTAACAAATTTGAATTTTTGCAGTGGATTTCGGAGAGACGGTATGACAGAGTGCTAGTTTTGCTGTCAGGCTGCTAACAGGCTATTTTCTTCAGTTCAGCCCGTGTTGGTCATCAGGTGAGTTTGTCTGATCAGAAAAAACTTGTTTATCTAGTTTTAGGACATTTGAATCTGAGGAACGTTATTCTGCTAAAACATGGTTAAGACATTATATACATTACAGTCAGATTGTCATTACCACATGTACCTGGCAGGTCCTGTTTTTGTGCTGGTAATGTTTCAAGCTCGTCTCTCCCCCATGGCTACAGGTAGTTCTATCAGGTTTCTATTCATCAATAAAGAAATGCACTTCCTTGCGTTGGACACTAGAGGCATCATCCATATATTGACAGATCTACAGACACCAGTCACATAACGGGGCTTAAGTGGGGCCTGTTCTAGCTACAGTACAACAGCTGGATTAGTTGGGACATTTGTTAGGTCTTACCGTCAGCACAATAAAAACGAGCATACGTCTCTGGTCACCAGAAATGAAAGAAAAAACAAGAGGAAGAGGAAAAACAACACCGTTGTTGGGGGACCTCAGTGGGCTTCTTTGCCTGGGAACCCCCTCTCCAGATTCTAGGAATGCCATCTGTAATATTACTACAAAGTAAGTTGGCCTCAAAAAGCAATAAAAGTGGTACCCATTTTTTTCTTTGCATATGTGAGATCAGTCTATAAAAACAATTGACATCTTTGTCTTGGAGGTATCCGTCTGAAGCCTCTTTGTTGTGGTGGTGGGGAGGGCTTTTTTTTGTGATGCAGAAAACCCAAATTGCCAACTGAAAACAAATGTTTGTGTTGCTTGTGTAGTATTATACCTACAGAATCAGAATAAACTCAGTGGATGAAGATCACTACCTCTTGGATCCACCTTTGTGCAGTGATTGGGACTGGAAAAGACAAATGGACTCCAATACAGACTCCAGAGACAGGTGAGGTAGAAAAGACAGTCAAGCAGAGAACACCGTAAAACTTTAATTAGTAGCCCGGGCTATTATTTGCTTAAATCACTGAAATCAACAGTCCCATATTTGGGACAGGCCTTTAATTCCTTTCACAGCAAAGATGGGAAATATAATCAAATTGTTTATTTAAACCAGTATGACTATTGCTTGTAAAAAAATTACACTTCAGATAATATATCAGTTATGAATTTGTTATAGCTCCAACAGACAACACATCAGAGAGAGTTATGGCACTCGAGGATTTAGACACCTGGCATACCGACACAACACCCTTTTATCCGAACAATTCTCACAACTTGGATTCATTTGAATGAAAAACCCTTTCGATTCTTTGATCTGAGGACCCTTATAGACTTAAGAATTATGAATAACTTACAGGGTAATCAAGGAATTGACACATGACAATTCACATGACTTTAGGATAGCCAACAAACTGGATTTATACAGGAATTGCTTGGCAACCAGACCAGGCCTCTATTTGTCAAAATGTGTAGCTACACCAGGCTAATAAAAGGGACTGGGTGTTTAATGGAAGATTCACAGTAAGTCTGAAGAGATCACTGTACATAAAAGGGCGAACTAAAGGTTATGGTATGGAAGTATTTCTTATCCAATTACTCGATTATTTGATGGATTAATTGGTAGAATACTGGATAACTGAAATTATTGATAGCTACAGCCCTATTAAAAACACTGAACACCTGCATCTCCCCAAATAAAGCAACAGCCTTAAATCTTTTTTGACAACTTTTAAAAAGTTGCTTATTTTTCAAAGCCATTCGTAACTTAGTGCTGCCTCTACTGGCAGGAGCTGGAATACTAAAATGTAAGAAATGTAGCAGCTGTGTTTTTTTCCGAGATTATCTCTTGCTAGTTGTCACTTTGATCTGTTCCTCTTTGAAGTTGCCTGTGCTTGGACCATCCTGTTTTTGACATAGTGTCCCCCTGCCCCGGATGAGTTGTAATGTCATTTCCCATCAGAGAATGATGCAAATCGCTGTGTCAGTAATGATTTACCCAGACATCAATATGTGTTTAACCTGCTGTCCAAACCTCAGGATCCTCAGTTCTGTCATTAGTGAATACTGATAGAAGACCGAGGTCACTGCTTCACTACTGTTAGAGCCTCTGGCTGTGCTGCTGCTCTGTTGTCTAGAATAGGGGTTTCCAAACTTTTCCATGCCAAGGCCAAGTAGCATTATCTCTTGGACGGGCCCCCTCTTTTACAAGATGTCTTTAGAAACTCATTGACAATGCTACAGCACACGTAGTCCATTCCAGGACAGTAGCTTGCTGCATGACTGTGGCTGACTGCCTGGACAGATGTTTTTCCTTCTGCTTTTATAAGCTGCTGACTGTTCTTTCTGCCTATGCTGGATGTTTCTGTTTCAAAGTGACGCTGAAGTTTACAGTTCCAAATACTCGTTTGAGAGTCTCAAGGCAGAGAACTCATTTGGGGCATAGCCATTCGTCTTGTGCAGGAGGAAGCGTGCATCTACTGCTAGCTCACCGAGCACCACTGAGCCAGACGAGGAGGACGCCAGTAATGTTTATGTCCTGCGTTGTCAGGAGCGTGAGGCTCTCATCCATGAGTAGATGCACGCTTCCTTCTGCATGGTGATACAGCTCACTGGTGCTAAGTGAACTATCAGTAGATTCTGTGCAGTGATATGGTTCTCGGGTGTAGTTTGGTAGAAAAAGTTCCTTCATGAAACTGCTCACAACAAGGTCTGTGGATTATCCTGAGTAATTTTGATTTCTGGAAAAAGACATTGCTGTTGAGTACTTCAGATGTATTTTTTTGGCACCTTTGTGCACCACAAGCCGAGTGCAGTCTGTATCTGTCATAATCGAGTGAAGGCAGACTTTGAAGTTGTCAAAATCTGGTGCTCGGGCAGTGACTTACGGCATCAGACATTGATGAAAAAAACGTCCTTTAACGTTGGCATGATACGGGGCCTGTTGCCGTTATAGTTTAGCAGTACTTGGCGCCGTTGGGGAAACGTGGTGGGACAGGAACTAAAGTAGAGGTGGCGAAGGTCAGCATAGGGCGGACTGGAGGGGTGGTGGATGTGTCCAACACGCAATGCCCTTCACCCGGGAGAGCGGTGTTTGCGTCCTGTAAGATTATAAAGCCAAGCCCTGTTCTTCTTTCCTAAACCCAACCATGTGCGTGAGTTGTTGGAGGAAAACAAACAATTTGCGTTGTTGTATTGATGTGGGGCATTTCTTTTGAAAGAGACTGTATGTAAACGGTAAATTTCCTGTGACAACAGAAGTGTATCTTGAAAGAAGACAATGCATGTAACAGGCAGAACTTGACATGGCGTCCCAGAACGTCAACAACCATTGACCCAGGGTACCTTTCACGTCGTATCTGGACGTGGAAGGTCCACATCCAAAAGTCGATATGTGACGAGGTCGGAGGCAGAATGTGCTGCCATGGCCGATTTCTCCAACTCCAAACTGATGAACAGCACTATGGGTAAGAGGAAAAACATCTATTTTTGGCTTTAGTGATGAACTTTCAGTATGTTTGTGAGCATGGGCGTGATGTATGTGAAATACTGTGACAAAAGTGCAGCATCAAGAGGAAGTTTGAGGTGTGGCTCCTTTCCAAAATGGTGACATGTGCAGCAATAACAGGAGGCAAATTAAGGAAATTGTGTGCAAACAGATGGCAAAACCAGGCGACCTAAAATGCTGAATAAACAAATTGGTTAACAAGTCAGTTATGCAATATCCGAGTAGCTTTGTTGTTAGAAAAAAAACCCATTTATAACATTCCACCACATCCATAGAAACAAATTAAAACAGATGGGGATAACCATGGCCAACAGATGACATACAAGTTAATCTCCTCATTGTGCATGCAATTTATTTTATTATATTAGTTAAACAGGGACGGTGCTTACTGATTAATAGGAAAAATATATATAAATGAGTTAGCCCAAATGCCAGATGTTAAAAAGCTAGCCTTAAAATAGAATAACACCACATGTCCTGCAAAATTCATATACATAACATAAATAACATATGCACAAATTAGTACAGTAAACATCCACCAATAAATAATGCCACAGTATAACACAATATGGCAAATGATGCAAATTAATTCTATTAAAATATGAACACATTCCTTGATATTGCTAATTTTTGGTTGGATTGTCGGATTGATTTGCAGCATAAAGTCCAGGTCCATAGGTGCAGTGATGACATAAACAAATCCTGGTTTATCGCATCGCATGATACACTGAAAAGGAAGACACAGTTCTGCAGGATTTTGAGGTCCAAAACAGGAACTGAATGCTTACAAAAATGCCTTTCACAAGGGGGAGTGTTTGACATTCACAAACCCAATGAGCTGACAATAAGATGTGGGGCAGCTACTGATTCTGTTACTCTGATGAGGGGAAAAACGACATCAACTAATTTTGTAAGGTAAGAAAATTCTTTCTCAAATATCAGGGATTTTTGGGTTTTAAAAAATTGGAGCTGCAAAGCTCTGTGCATCCAGCCTAACAGTGGAAATGGCCTGTACATAATGGGCATTTACAAAATTGACAGATCTTTTGCAGCATAATCTGGGTACGGTGAGTAAAAAATTCAAAATTAAAATAGAATAAAATTAAACTAAATAAAACAAAAAACAATTCAATTCAATTATGCTAACTGCAAAGCTAAGCTTGTACCTACAGTGGAATTAAATATGGAATTGATTTTGCATTCATATTTCAAATTGGAGGTGCAAAAGTTCAAACAAGATTACATATAATTATATAAACATTCTAAAAACAGTATAAAATCTTGAATTATTCACAATATAGGGTGGTTTTATTTGACATATTTCATGAAATTTGTACTACTGCTAAGTCATATGTTCTGTGGAACAGACCTTATGATGTTGTGTTGATGCAGCAAATAAACATCAAATGGCTTCTTTATAATTGAAAGTTACAGAAATAGGGGGAAACAGCCTGGCTTTGTACAAATTCAACATAAAAGAACCGATGATAACGATAACCGATGATGTGATGATAACCAGAGGTGGGGGGAGGGTGGTTGGGTTTAGCATTGGGAGACGTTGGTCACCTCTTGACATTCGTTCATAACAACCTTCCATTGATCTACACGTTTCTTATTTTTCTGCACCTGATCATTTGTCCATAAATATGTGTTATTATCATGCACAACCAGCTTTATTTTACAAGTGTGTGTGTGTAATGTCTTTTTGGAATAGTAATGTAGATATTGTGCAAAACAAAAATCTCTCCTCATCCCCCTGTCTTTAATGATTGATCAAAATGTCAACATGCATCCAGGTTGCAGTCCAAGTCCAGGCGGCCCCTTTTATTCATAACAATTACTGGATCTGTACACGGGGCCTCTTTACTTTGTGTCAGATGTGATCAGCTTTTTAATTTGAGGTTTGAGTTCATTTTAAAAAGCTGCCCAGACTTTTAAGGGTAAGACAGATACTTGATCAACTTTGCAGATTCTGGTTAAAAAACAACAAGAAAAAAATGAGTGGATGGCCTCCCGAAAATCGACGAACCTTTCTCGTTCTGCTGTGGACGGATGAGATAGTAACACAGTTTTTTAACAATACTTTGTTTTCACTGTACCTCGACAGCATCTGATCCACTTTGAAGACACATCATGACCTTCATTTCTGCTGAGAGACTACATTTTGCTTTTTGTTTGTCAATAGGTGAGTCTCTGTGTTTCTTTGCTCTCTCACTTCCTTTTTTTGACTTCTTCCCCTTTACTTCTTAAGTCATATGAGTAGCCTACAGTATAGTCACACTTTGGTTGTGTGCTCTCAAAACAGTGAACAGAAGTGAAAGTGTAATAGTTTGTATCCAACTTTGCTTTCTTTCAAGCAAAGTTGATGTTGGACACTGAAAGTCTTGCGGTGGCACACCAAAACCAAAAGCCATAATTGAATTTTAGGAATTTGCTTATGCTGATGACGTCTAAGGGCGTGTTGGAAACTATGTCAATATGTAGAGTTATGGAACTGCATTGTGATAGAGTTTTTTATTTTACTGTTAATGTTGTGAATTATCTGATGTGCACAGACTAACACTGGTGTGGTTAACACTTTTAGTTCCATGACAATGACGTTTTGTAGCTATAGACCCTTTTAGGGCCGACGTCACAATGATGTCAGTTTATTATCTAGAGGCAAAACACGACTCTCCAGGGCTGTAGGCTACATAGGAGTCTTAAAATGTCTTGTCATGTTATTGGGAGCCAGAATAGAAGGAGTCATGGCTCAAAACTTAAATTTTATCACATACCAGCTGCCACTGCCAGTTAACAAAAACAAAGACAACCATGGTTAAATGTGATAAGACGAAAGGACTGGACGGAGGTGATCATCAAAAATGCTCACATGTGCAGCGCACACTTCATATCAGGTTAGGGGAAAAGTATTTCCTGTTGTAGGGATGAATAACGTTATGTGTATTAAGGGTTATCATGTCCACCTCATCAGAAACTGGGGAGAGATTAAGAGGAGTATTGGATTTCTCTGTAACACTAACCTTTTAGCACATTAGCTAACGTTAGCTTTGATAGCAAAACAAGCTGGAGAAGACCGTTCAAGTGTCGTCCTCCTTTGTAAGTTTGGCACAGTAACCAACCACAAAGCTTCCTGTGACATCATCCATCCACTGAGTGAGAGCATACGGGTCGGCCAGTCTGGTCCGTTGGTCAGTGTTTATTCAAGTTATATTGTGGTCCTGGAGAGTGAGTGACCTGACATGGTGTGTTAATCGGCTAAGTTAATCACACATTTACTCCCCTCAGCACTCTGCTGCTCCGTCTCCCCAGACAGTGTCCACAACATGCTCTGCTACTCGGATAACCAAACTTTATATTCCGACAGTGCTCTGAATTTACGAACAATCCAGTTTGTGCCAGAGTGCGCTCCAACACTCTGAATGAGTATATCAGAATGAACCACTTGTATCATTTTCCTTCATTGTCTAAAACAAGCCAACAGAACTTGCTAGCTAGCACTGGCTATGGAGAATTGTTTTGCCTCGTCCACCAAAAACACCAAACTGTTTGCTAACAGTAAAAGATCTATAAATGTTGTAAATCATTGTTCTTCAAATAGGCTGGCTGTCTTTAACCTTAATAGACAAATAAACTGCTTAAATTTGAAAGCGTATATTGATTGTAAGGAACAAAGCATTTCCAGGGAACAACCCCTCTCAAGTGTAGGGGTGACTCGTGAATTTTCAGTCAGATCCCTTTAGGCGAGAGTTCAAGGGACCCCTTTCAAATGGCCCCACCAGTTGTTCACTTGCCAAAATTTAGCCTAGCTTTGGAGTGCTATTTTGTCCCATTCTTGACAAACCGTGCAGACAAGGTTGGTACCAATAGATGCCTTAAGTTGTCTAGTTTCACAAGATACCACTACCTCCATGCTAGCTGAGCACGCCACAGCCTCTTACATACAGGGCCAGGGCCCCCATTGGGGCCGCCAGTAAATAGATTAGACAAACACAGCACTGACTGCTGTGACAAATCTCTGGGCTGAACATTTTACTGTGTTTCTGCTGTAGGTCTGCTGAGTCTACCACTGCTTACAGGTCAGTAAGTTCTATTTATGTTTCATCCCTGAAAACACATTATATTAATTAGATATTTAGATTTCTTCACCCCGATGTAATACCAAAAACAATGGTACTGTTTATTATTGAGTTCATGGTGACACAACCTACAGCTACTGTGGTTTAATTTTGCATTTCTAGAATGTGAAAAAATTAGGCTGGTTGGGCCGTCACGTTGTGCCGGTAGACTGGAGATCTACAATGAAGACAGCTGGGGAACGGTGTGTGATGACCACTGGAGCCTCACCAACGCTGAGGTGGTGTGTCGCGAGTTAAACTGCGGGACGGTTCTTGAGGCCAAACGAGGCGCCTTCTTTGGAGAGGGGCAGAACGTGATCTGGTTGGACGACGTGCAGTGTACTGGTAGTGAGAGTTCCATCCTCAAGTGCCCGCACAGACCATTGGGGCAAAATAACTGTGGCCACGCTGAAGATGCTGGGGTCATCTGTTCTGGTAAGACGAAGTTCGTTCACTTATCTCTGTTGTATTTGCTTTTCTTGACCCACTTGTGTTTTATTGAAAGTTGAACTACCAATAGGGTACCAGTCAATTAGAAACCAGATCAAATAGCATCAACATTTTTGGGAAATACTTGTTTTCTCGTAGAGAGTTAAGAATATTAATTCCATTCTCATATGTGTCCATTACACATGAGGCTACCGCAGCTTAACTTAGTCTAGAATAAAGGCCTGGAAACATGGAAAAAGTAGGATGACAAGTAGGATGAGAGTGGTAACAGTCTTCTCCTGAAACTTTTTGCCAGAAAGTGAGTAAGCTGATTTCCTAAAATGATGAACCCTTCCTTTAGATATTAGTCAGGCATTAACCTGAGTCAGCTCATAAAATCGAGCATCACAAATCATTGCATTATAAGGCCCTTCCTCAATTTAGATCTACATTAAGACCAGAAATGTGGAACTATCACAAGAAGTTAGGAAATTAGGAAATATGGAGAAAAAAAAGTAGCTAACGCAGCATTTATCTTAGCAACTGATGTGACTGCATCTTGTGTTAGAAAACCTAGCGACTGTACTGTCAGTTCACAGTTGGTTGTTTACTTGTGGTGGTAATGCTGTTGCGGCAAGAGCACAACAGCAGGTTCAGCACGTGACCGGCTGCTGCAAATGTAGAGTGCAAAGGGCACGAAGCAGAGAGATGGAAGATAAACCAAAACTTACCAGTCACCAGCTAACCTCATTTTGACGAATGTTTGGTAAAACCTCATCATGCAGTCATGCTTCCGCTTCATGTAGTTTCATTCTTCTGTTCTTTATAAACTATACAGAATGGATGATGTTTAACTTGTTCCCAGCTACGTGGGACTTTATTGTAATTCCAGCAGTCAACACACTGTCGCTCCACTCCCACATGTTCTCTTTGTGTGTGAGTTGTTTTAATATCTCACAATCATCTGACAGGTGATTGTAGAATTCGATAGATAGTTCAGTCTCTGTGCTCCTTAGACATCGGTCAACCTCGGCATCTCTCTGCAGTCTGAGTAGTGGTTTGCTGAAACACACTGCATTAAAGGAGCACCCCACCACACTTACATGGTGAAAGAGCACCTCAACCCAGTAAAAAGATTGGTTTAACTCTCAGGATTTGATCCATTTAGTCCAGTAGCATTTTGAGAGTCTAGAAGAGCTGCATAATTAAATCATTTTTGTCCCCATTCAAGATAAAGGAGCACTTAACTGCAAGTTAGCTACTCCACTGCCAGAAGTCTCTAGTGCACTTGCTCTATGCGGAGGATCAGGACTGGTCATTTTACACTGCAGAAATTGTTATTGGCTTGATGCGCTACTGAACAACTTTGATAGGAATGATCAGGGTTCACCTACAACACTGTATCCAGTTCTCTTCATGCATCCATGGTTTACTCAGATATAAGGGGTATACCCACTTCTTTGTCTGTCTGTTTACATTATCCACCTTATTCCTAGCCCCGATAATCCCTTGCGCGTATTACGTGCGTGACTTCCACCATTGAACCGAAACCAGCGATTTCCAATGGTAACAGTTTGTGTACAGTACTATATTCTTCTCTCCAAGAGCAACTGGGAAATAAACCATGAAACACACCACCTGTTATAGCTTAAACAGGATTATGTAATCATACCTCTGCCATCTCTGGCAGCCATCTCAAATCTCTTTCTTTTTCAACCGAGCACACTAACAATTAGCTTGCCTTGCTCCGTTAAAATATTGTTAACTTTAACATGGCCCGAGCTAGCTTAAGGTAACATCTGCTCCTAATGACTACATGTAAATACCTGTGGATATTCTCATTCATCCAGGTCATAGTTATCTCAAGGCAATTGAATCGAACGCAACTGGACATGGTTTTGTCTTAGAAGACGTTTCACCTCTTATCCAAGAGGCTTCATCAGTTCATGCTTGTCTGACTAGGCTGAAACTAGTCTGACAAACTGGTGTGGAAGCACCCAGGTATTTAACCTCTGGGGAGGTCTTCACAAGGCCAATGATGTCACTGGTTCGTTAGTGCTCCAATGGTGTGTCAACGACAGTCATTGAAACTCCTGCTGCAACGGTAGGTGGGGGATAGGTGGTGTCGCAGACCTCCTCCTCTATTGAGAGATGGCTTTTCCAATTTCACATAGATGGCTTCTTTTACACCTCTTTCAAACCATCGGTCTTCCCTGTCCAAAATGTGCACATTGCTGTCTTCGAAGGAGTGTACTTTCTCCTTGAGGTGTAGATAGACAGCTGAGTCTTGCCCTGACGAGTTAGCCCTTCTATGTTGGGCCATGCGTTTGTTTAGTGGTTGTTTTGTTTCACCAATGTACAAGTCTGGGCATTCCTCACTGCATTGGACAGCGTACACTAAGTGTACCTCTCAATAGAGGAGGAGGTCTGCGACACCACCTATCCCCCACCTATAATGCTGTCCTTTCATCCTTGCCCAGGAGGTTTAACAAATTAACCTCTAAAAACAATGGTCGTTCACAAATGGCCTCATGTGACTCTAACGACTCCAGTGACAACCGTTGCAGCAGGAGTTTCAACGACTGTCGTTGACACACCATTGGAGCACTAACGAACCAGTGACATCATTGGCCTTGTGAAGACCTCCCCAGAGATTAAATACCTGGGTGCTTCCACACCAGTTTGTCAGACTAGTTCCAGCCTAGTCAGACAAGCATGAACTGATGAAGCCTCTTGGATAAGAGGTGAAACGTCTTCTAAGACAAAACCAAGTCCAGTTGCGTTCGATTCAATTGCCTTGAGATTACATGTAAATACATATTTCAAGGTATGCTGCTGAGTTTATTTTCTAATGTAGGTTGTGAATGAAGTCAGATGGGGAAAGACAGGGATATCATGTACTGACGTTGAGTGACGGACCTGTCAGTCTACATGTCATTCTCTCCTGCAGATTTTGATTTAATACTTTTTCACTATGTCTCCTGAAACTCTTCTTGTTTTATTTCTCATATCAACGGTACCTTTGGCAACAATCCCTTTTTGTTCTGGTCACATGTTCAACACACAGTTGTTGAAGACAAAAATTTAGCTTAGACTAGTTGTTAGTCGTTACAGACACGGACAGTGCAACAGGTACCAGAGCTCCGCAAAGACATTTTAGAAAATGCTTTAGAAAAGAACCAGCGTTGGCCATTAGCCACCAAGAGTAGCCACTGGGACGAACCACAGACAGTCTATGGGACTAACTAGCTTACTGCTACTTCCATTATCTCACTGGAAGTTGTGCACATAATCATTTCTACAGTAGTGCCCTCAGGAATAAGGTGGATACCCTCCTATCAGCCAAAAAGCTGTTGGAATATATAGAAGTATACCCACTTCCTCCTTGGAAACCTACCCATCTACCCAGTAGCACACCCAGCTCACCAGCTACCACTACCACAATTTCAAACATTTCTTTAACATACAAAAGGCTTATATACATTGATTTTTGTTAAGTTTTTACACACATTTCTTTGTTGCACATTTGATTTTACTTAAATTTCTATCTACATCATTTGCAGAACATGTGAGGGTGATCAACGGGACCAATCGGTGCGTCGGCAGAGTGGAGGCCTTCCATGAAGGCAATTGGAAACGAATTTGCAGCAGTGACTGGACCAAAGCGGACGCTGACGTGGTGTGTCGAGAGATCAACTGTGGCACTCCTGTCACTCAGACTGAAGCGGTGTATTTCGGAGAGACACGCAACGTAGGTGGCTTAAAAACCAACTGTTTTGGAAATGAGACCTCTATCTCGCAGTGTCCACTTAAGGATTTCAAGGAAAGCTGTACTGATGCTATTATTTTCTGTTCAAGTAAGTCATCCATGTGTTCAAATTACATCACTAAATTTGTGTTGGACTCAATGTGGGTAGACTCTCTGCTGTTTTGGCTTCACAATAAACATGCACTTTTTCCCTTTCCCCCTGACAGACAGTAAGCCAATTCGCCTGAAGAACGGGACTAGTCGGTGCTCTGGCCGAGTGGAAATCTACAATGATGGACAGTGGGGAACGATCTGTGATGACAGATGGGGGATGCAGGAAGCAGCTGTTGTATGTCGGCAGATGAACTGTGGGACTGCTCTCTCAGTCAAGTACAAGTCCTTCTTCGGCAGAGGTCGGGATCAGGTTTGGTTGGACGACCTTGAGTGTACCGGTCATGAGAAGTCTCTTGCTGACTGCCCGCACAGAGGTTTTGGAGAACATGACTGTGACCACAATGAGGATGCTAGTGTCATATGCTCAGGTAACACATACTGTTTGTTAATCAAAATACTTGAATGAAAGCAGGTTGGTCAAGATCCTGATAACACCAATATTTGGCACCCCATGTCATCTTAGCTTTTTTCCCCCATTTTCCATTCGAATGATTTGAGAGGCGGGCCCTCTGTGGTGGTCGTAACAAGTTTACAGTTGGTAAGGAGAAACTAGTGGTAGCCGTTGCTGGTTACCCAGAGCTATACAGCCTGACGTTAGACAGCAGGTTGTCAAACTGCCCCTGAGTCATCCTAAAATATGCCTGGAAACAGCCATCATGGAGGCGAAGCTCTTGGACCAACTGGTGGTACTCCCCTCGATCTTCTCTTTCTTAGGGTCTCATGTACCCACACAGATCTCTGTTTCCCTGTGCCCAACAAACTATTTGCTAACAGCCTCTCACCCCCAACCAGAGATACAGCAAGTACCCTCTGCCTCAACATTTTAGCTACTAGCTACTAATTACTATGAAAAAAACAAGCAAAAAAACAAACAGTAGATTGATTACACAGGAAGGTTGAGTAAGGAGGTGATGGCGTGAGTGCCAAAACACTTTTTGATTCTTTCTGAGTGATCAGGCCTTATTACCGAGAAACAGAATGTCATATGCTGCAGATCTCACCATGTGGTTGACCTGCACAGACTTCCTGTAAAGAACAGACCATGCACACTCACACATGATGTCAGACCATTCCAAATCATTGGTTATTGGCAAGAAGTGTCTTAGCAACAATTCAAGATCAGGAGTGGTAATTGGCTGTTGATTTTGCACATTTCAAATCCTTACAATTCTTGTCTGTCCCACTTCACCCGATGTCCCATGTTACCTGACTCACCCTGTATCTGTTGGTTTTCCCATGAATGTCTGCTGATGTATCTACTGTATCAGCAGTTAAACTTCCTGCTAATATTTACTGTAGAATTTACGAAAAATGTCTTCGTCCTTCCGCTGCCTGTTGCAATCAACCTTTGGTGTTCCTCTTTCTGTAGTTCTTTGGTATATCACAGATTTAGAAGTGGTACAATCTGTACCACAAACCCTATCTTATGAACACACTGTATGTCAGTGCTGACATATTATTTTCTCAAACATTTTATATACGTCTTTTCAATCGCTTGTTTTCCAGATTCAGTCAGACTATTCAACGGGACAGAGCGCTGCTCTGGCAGAGTAGAGGTCTACCACAGTGGCCAGTGGGGAAAAGTTTGTAATAATAACTGGCGCAATGAAGAGGCTGCAGTGGTGTGTAAGGAACTCGGTTGTGGATCCCCCAAAAAATTCCAAGAAAGCTTCAATTTCGGGGACAGCGGCCTGAGAGGGTATACAAGCAGATGCTCTGGCAACGTGAGCTCGATCGCTCAGTGCTCACTTCAAGAATACCCAGGGACCTGTCAAGGTGTTTCCCTTTCATGTTCAGGTAAGACACAAAAGACAGGGATATACTGCACTGGAACACAGTTCAACTAGAATAGCAAAGAATGTGGTCATAAAGAACAAACTTGGCTTATGTGAATCAAATGTTCTTATTATTTATTTGTAAATGGTGGCAACAAAGTAACTACTTTAAAGAATAACTTGTGTATTTTTCAACCTGAACCGTATTTTCCCATGTTTTTGTATCTCAGTGACTAATGGAGACAATAATTTTTGAAATTGTTCAAGTAGCTGGCATCTATGAAACAGGCTGTAGTGTAATCACAGGGTGCAGGGTGGTTAAGTTCTGCCCCCGGACGCAGACTGGCCAATCATAACGTAGCATCAGGCTGGCTCAGACCAGGGTCCGACAACAACACAGCTGTGCTCCATTGACTCTAATGCAGTCATTTCAGATTTCCTTCATTTTCAGGCTGGTTTTGTGGATTTGGAGCTAAATGTTGTGCCTGGAGCACGTCGTGTATTAATGATACTCGTTACCTGGAGAGGTTGGAAAAAGATATACGTTTCTTCCCTGTTCCAAAACCAAAATCAAACCCTGAAAAGTGTAGGGTTAGCTAGCTAGCTACAGAAGATATAGCCTACTGAATGTATACACATGCTGCTTTTGCTTTTTAATGATTATAACTGTGAAAAAAAGACCGACCCTGCTGTACAGGAACCAGTGAAGGGAAGCAGGGAAACTTTGCTGATATTGAACCAGCTGTGTGTCATCACAGTGTGTGCAGATGAACGTTGTTTGACTTCCCCCAGAGATCCCTGCCCATCTGGCAGTGAAGGTTTGGGTGGTAGCAGCAGCACGGGGGTGAAGCTCAAACACAGTTCATCTTCACACACTGTGATGCCACACAGCTGGTTTAATATCAGCAAAGTTTCCCTTTATATTCATTGTCTTGTGTGGCGATCAGCAGTGATGTGGTGGTTCACTTTTACACTGTGATCTGTAGCCTTTAGTTCGGCTTTAGCTTCTAACTATCTTTGTCTTTTTAACCTGTTGTTGCTGCTGAGTCAGTTTGACATCCTGGATATATCCTTCAAACACAGACTGTAGACCCCTCTGTCTGCTTCTTTCTGGAATCACTCTTTCATTTTTTCAAAAATATGATAATATTTCTTCAGTTGAGTCCAGATTGAAAATACAAAAGTTACCCTTTAATAACTACTAAATTGTTTGCACCTCTATACATATTTATTTACACTCTTGTTGTGCATATGCATTTTACTACAGTAAATTCTTTTAACATTGTGTCCATTCATGCAACTACTGATTCATATTACATAATCCATATTTTTATTTATATTCTATAATTTATTTTATCTTGTACTACTTTATATCCTTATGTCTAGATTCACTGTTTGCTTATACGGAGGTCTGTGACCCAACTTTTTCAATGGCAGGGATTACTCTTGCATTTGAGTTTATTTGACAATAAATAACTTTGAACTAAATTGAGCCTAATAATTCAATTCATAATTTTACTCTACCTTGTGTGTACTTCTAACATGAGTAAACCTGTCCTCAGGCAATCCGCCGCTAAGGCTCGTCAATGGCACCGACCGATGCTCTGGTAGAGTGGAGGTCCTGCACAACGACCAGTGGGGAACAGTGTGTGACGATGAGTGGGACATCAGAGATGCTCAGGTGGTGTGCAGAGCCATGGACTGTGGTACAGCTCAGACAGCCAAATCCAGTGCCTTCTTCGGTCAAGGCCATGGTGACATCTGGTTGGATGATGTCGGCTGTGTCGGTAACGAGACGTCCCTTTTGCACTGCCGACATCCCACCCTTGGAGAAAATAACTGTGGCCATGGTGAAGATGCCGGTGTGGTGTGCTCAGGTATCATGTCAGTTATTACTCTGATGTTAGCATGTTATTTACTTTAGCTTGTTATTTACTTTTATGATTATTTCTCCTTTGCTTTCCAGCTAACATTCGACTGATCAATGGGTCTGATCAGTGCTCAGGCAGGGTGGAGTTCCACCATGGTGGGCAGTGGGCATCAGCATATAATGTTAACTGGGGGATGAATGAAGCTACAGTGGTGTGCAGAGAGATGAATTGTGGAGAGCCAGTCTTGTTCTCGGGATCATATGGTCAAGGCGGATATTCGATAGGGTATAAGGTCAGTTGCAGTGGAAGAGAGAGCTCTCTCACACAGTGCACGCTGAGAGAATATGTCAGGACTGGCCAGGATCACGTTGAAGAGGCTTCTGTCAAATGTTCAGGTAAGACTTGAATTTGAGTGGAAATTTAAATTTTGCTGTCCATTACTGTCTGTTATGGACATTGTCGCCTACCGCAGTACATTGTGGGATATTTATGCCAGTGTAATGCAAGCCCCAGGAACAGTGTGGCTTTGATGCAAATTTAACATGGTAGACAGATTTGGAATTACAACTTCGGGGTCCATCACATGATGCCATGGTGGCCAAAAACATTCTTCCTATAGACTTAGATTGTTAAAGTTTGTAAATCAATAGATACATTTTTTTATCGTGTCACAACCCCAGTGAAACGGCTCGTTTCATTGTTGGCATTTGAGCCATTCAGTCCAACAATTAACCAGTGAATGAGTACCCACATGCAGTAAGGAGGGAGACCGATGTACATGTCATGAGACAGACTTGGGTTCCCCAAAAATGGAAGGCTGTGGTTAGGTAATGCCGCAGCCAGTGAACACGCCGTCTTCTGACAGTTTGTAACTGACTTGGCCAGCAAACTTCATAGCAAACCATTTGGGACATCATCAGCCGGTCTGAGTCGAGCTGATGGTGAGATGAAATACAAAAGTTACCCTTTAATAACTACTAAATTGTTTGCACCTTGGGGGTGGCACGGTGGTGTGGTGGTTAGCACTGTCGCCTCACAGCAAGAAGGTTCCTGGTTCGATGCCAGTTCCTGGTACTGTGCAGAGTTTGCATGTTCTCCCCATGTAAGCGTGGGTTTTCTTCAGGTACTCCGGCTTCCTCCGAAAGTCCAAAGACATGCAGGTTAATTGGTGACTCTAAATTGCCCGTAGGTGTGAATGTGAGTGTGAATGGTTGTCTGTCTCTATGTGTCAGCCCTGTGATAATCTGGCGACCTGTCCAGGGCGTACCCTGCCTCTCGCCCAATGTCAGCTGGGATAGGCTCCAGCCCCCCCGCAACCCTCAAGAGGATGTGGTTAGAAAATATATGGATGGATGGATGTTTGCACCTCTGTATATACAGTCCTCAGGTAATCCACCACCAAGGCAATGGGAACCAACCGATGCTCTGGTAGAGTGGAGGTCCTACAAACATTGATAAAGACATTTTTTCACCCCTTTTACAACAAGCCCACATGGCGCTGATTATTTTAAGAAATCTATCCCTTCACAAAATTTAATATTTGGAAGTCCCCATTATGCTGTTCAGTTCGCAGTTCACTTGGAAAGTGGAACCTAGCAAGCAAGTTGGGCTAATTAACATAGCTTTCTAACGTTAGCGCTGCAGTAGGCATCACTTTTGCTTCATGGTATTTCATCACCTGCTGAGTCAGGTTCTGAAAGGAGGGGGCCCAGCTAGCCTTAGCTGCAGCAATTAACATGTCAAGATCAGAAACAATATGACAAATGACCAGACTGGCGAAAGTCAAAGCAATCAGTTCAGTAATAGTCCAGCATCTACATTACTCTGCATGTTTTAATCACGACACGGGGTCACTAAAGTAATCATGGAATAACGTCGAGAATGTTCAGATCAGAGATGGTACCAAGTTTGGCGACGACTAACAATGCTGGTCCCTTGACTGGTGAACTTCCCTTGTTTCCTTTTCAGAATTGAAGCAATATTACAACCTATATTTCAGTTATGGCACTAATCAAATTACTGCACAGGCATTTTCAGCCAGTTCCCCTGGAAAACACTGGGGGTGCTATCACGGCAGAAAATAAAATGAAAACAAATGTCAGTCGGACTGTACTGTACATTCATATAACAACTGTCATTCCCAGGCAATGTGAGGCTGATAGATGGGAACAATCGTTGTGCCGGAAGAGTGGAGTTCTACGACAAAGGCCGGTGGGGGACTGTGTGCGGTGAAGCCTGGGATATGAACGATGCAAATGTGGTGTGCAAACAGATGGACTGTGGGAGGGCTCACAAGATTACCACCATGGCAGAGTATGGCCAAGGCCCGGGACAGACATGGATCGATCAGATTGAATGCAATGGAATGGAGTCAACGCTGGGTCAATGCCCACAAAGACCATTTCGTGACAGAACTTGCAATGTCTCCTCAGTTGCTGGTGTTTTCTGCACAGGTAAGAAACAGCAAAGAAATTACAAAATATTATATAGTCTTGTATTTGTTCAGTTGATTAGCACTTACTTTTTTGTAATATGTCTATTCCCAGCTGGTCCAGCCACAGGGTCCAGATTTCTCATTAGTCATTAGTTCAAGGTCCGCACAGTTTAATACATTCCTCGTCATACTTGAATTTGGCCATACTGTAGAGTTAGTTTCCTGTCTCTGTCAAGTAGCAGTCCGTTAATCACTCACTCTACAGCAGGAAACAGCACTTCAGAATAAAAGCTCTGTGCCCGAAATTCACTGGATGGTGGTGGATGTGTCCAACCAACATTGACTTTCACCCGAGAGAGCGTCCCGAAAGATTCTAAACCCAAACCCTGTTCATTTTTCCTAAATCTAACCACTTCCTTTTGTTGCCCAAACCCAACCATGTGTGTTTGTTGTTGAAGAAAAAAAACGTCTATTTGCGTTGTTGTAGTGATGTAGTGATGTAGTGCGTTTATTTTGAAAGAGACTGTATGTAAATGTTGAATTTCCTGTCAAAACAGAAGTGTATCTTGAAAGAAGAGAACTTGACACGGCATCCCAGAACGTCAACAACCAAGGCACCCAGGGTACCTTGAACGTCGTACGTGGACGTTAAAAGTCCATGACCAAAACTTCAATATGTGACAAGGTCGGAGTGAGAATGTGTTGAAAAGGCAGTTATACTCAAGAACATTAACTCACCTGGACATAAAAAAGACAGCAGTTGTTTCAGTTGTAAACCCAACTGCACACAAAAAAAGGTGCAGTCCAATAGACTTGTATGCTGTTGTCGGCTCACTGTGGAGGGCTAGTAGGATGAGATAACTTGTAACGACAGTCATGTCCACACCGGGCAAATTGGAAGTTCTGGGAAAAATCCACATCACATCCAACATAAGTTTTAATTTTTTGACAATACCTGCTGCCTGCAAGTTCATCCAACCCTTTTATGTTGTCAGATTCCTCTTTTTATAATTCAGGCAGTGTATAGATTTATCACTTCCTGCCCTCCATCTGAATTTCACACATCCTAATAGTCACGTGATTGCAAACAAGCTACTTCAGTACTTTCCCAGCACAAGTGGAGTCATAAGTGACGCAAATGCACGGTAATTAGTCCTGTAGGTCGAAGTGTAGGTTGAACCCAGCCAGTGCAGCACCAGCAACTACCATTCAAAAAAAAAAAAAAAATGGCTGGGTAAACAACAGACAACACAAATCACAAACAGCTTGTAATGTCAAAAACTAAGGAAAACATGGACGAATGGACCAACAGTCAAGACCACTGGCTTTACTGGGCATATATGAGACACTGGAAATACAACACGATTTTGACTCATCAAAGCAAAACTGACATTGCTATCCCAACTGCCTTTTGGCTTACAGTACGTCACTTTAGACTTTAGAGTTAGAGGTGTGAAAGCGAACAGTTTGGTCTGAAAACTCTTATTGTCAAAGGTATTGTGTTCCAAATCTGTGTGTGTGTAACAAAGGGAACAAGAAATTACTTCACGAGTGCCTTTCTTTGATATTTATCTGCCATATCTTTGACTACATCAAAGTGAATTTGAAATGTCTGATAATCATTTTAGTTCACTTGACTTCACAGGAGGTTTGGAGGTCCGGTTTGCTAACGGTAAAGAGTGCTCCGGCAGAGTGGAGGTACGTCATGGCAACGTGTGGCACACTGTGTGTGACACAGACTGGAACCTCAGTAAGGCTGAGGCGGTGTGTCAGAAGCTGGAATGCGGAAATGCATTGAGCGCTCCGGGTGGTGCCCAGTTTGGCCAAGGCACTGGACCGGTTGTGGAAGCCAGCAACTCATGTTTCGACAACGTGACGTCTCTTCAGCAGTGCTCACTCAAAGGTTTCAGAGGAGCAACGTGTGGGCACGAACATGATGCTGGTGCTGTCTGTGCAGGTAAAGCCTTTTATATTATGTGTTCGCACTCACATGCAGTTGGAAAAATAATCTAAGATCAGCATTTGTTTCGCAGACGAGAGTGGGAAATTATTGTGCTTAAAGGAATACTGGTAGTTCAACATTTTTTGCTTTGTTGTGAAGAGTTAGATAAGAGGACTGATACCATTCTTCCAAATAAGTAGCTGGAGCCAGCAGCTAGTTGGCTGGTTGCTATTTAGTAAGATTTAGAGGTGCTGGTACACAAGTACGCAAGTACACAAATCAGCTTCACTATAACTCGCAGCATTCACAGACAAACACTTGTCTTTATCTGGACACATTTTCCCCACAAATACAACATGCTAATGTTATTAGCACAAGCCTATGGCATTTTACATTGTATAAATTAGCCTAGTGGCTAGCGGACTTTTCCTCTACTTATATGAAGCCAGGGACAACAGCAACATTTAACAAAGGTAACATTACAAAATTCGGCTCCATTACAACTCACAAGGTTCACTGACAAAACAACTGACTTATACTAAACATGTTTTCCAAACAAATATAACATGCTAACGTTATTAGCACAAGCCTATGGCATTTAACATTGTATAAATCAGCCTAGTGAATAGCAGAGATTTCCTCTACCCATATAAAGCCAAGATAAATCCCACACAAGATTTAAAATGAAAACTTGTGGAGGCTTTATTGTCTTCACAATTTATTGTTTCCTATCTGTGAAATAAAAGTAAATAAAAGCTTTGTTTCTACTGAGGGAAATGGTTTCAGCTTACAAAAATAGACAGGAGGTCACTGCCACGTGTAGTTACATTTCGAGGGAGGTGCATGTCAGGCTATGCCGTAGGGTACAGCGTAGACTCTAAGTCGACGCAGAGCCTATACCATAGGTACGCTGTCTATTCAATGCAGAAGTATAAATCCCGCATCAGACAGATCAATGCCAGCCTTTTCCTTGTTTCCATTCTTTATGCTAAGTTAAGTTTATTGGCTGCGGGCTCTAAGTTACTTTTGTTGTAAAGACATATCTCCAGATCTCAGCACAAAAGTGAATCAGATTATTTTCCAAAATGTCAAACTATTACTTTAATGTTTCATTTGTATAACAAAAGTAGCATAAATCACATCCTAGTCATATTCCACATCATCATTTTTCTGTAAGTCTGCCATTTCCCCCTTTTTGCTGATGAAATTAGGTTCTGATGAAATAATGGGACAAGCAGCACTTGCAGAGTCCAACTGACACGTATTCACTGGAGGTGTACAGAGACATCATTATCTGTATCTGTATCTGTTCAGCCAACAAAATTATCTGTCTCTCTATCTGTAATAGGATAAAGTCCAGAAGTGGGCGTGGTTTATACATGAAGTCACATTAAATTGGGCAAATGCTGTACTTTCTATCTAATTATTCACTGGCAACATAATAGTTTTGCCTTCAAAGCATCAAAGTGTTTTAATAATGGCATATATGGAATATATTACTGCATCCTCAGCCTGTACTTTTCATAGCACCCTCCAGCTGATTTCTTACATTAATACATTTTTATGATTTTTTATGTTTAAATATGCAATGGGTGCATTATCTAATTAATAATGCACTAATTTGCATACCATGCAGAACAGAAATGTGAACGTTCGATAAAACCACTTTCAAAATTCAACATTCATTTTGTTGATAAATTTGAACCAAAGGTTTTTACAGAGGGTATTTTTGGATATCTCTTTTAACTCCCACACTCCGTAAATCAGAAAATAAATGTTTGCCATGTTTTTATAAATAAAAATGTTACATAAATTAGAATTATACTTGAACAAACCTCTGTTCAAAAACCTTTAGTATATAGAAGGGAATAAAACTGTCAAGTCTGGTGTATGTAAGTGCTGCTGAACAGGAGATTTCTGGCTCAGAGTATGAGGAAAAAATGGCGCTTAAACATATGTTGTAATATTGCATACAAATTAAGGCAAAAAATAAGACTGCAGGTGAAAAGGGTGAAAATATATAACAGATATCACCATGACACAATGAAACGTCCCCAGTTGATTAGTTAAACAAGTTTTCTTAATTTTTATGTTTAAATTTGCAAATGAGACATTGTCTAATTACATTTTATACAGAAATCTGATCTAAAATAAACAGCTACGTGTGTGTTTTGGACATTTTGTTTTCTCAAGTCCGAAAGAAGATGTCATGGAAGCAAAATAGCCCAAAGTCTTAAAACTGACCAGTGCATAAAAAGCTGTGGAGTCTCCCCTTAACATGAAAATATATGCGTGTTGACTTACGCAATTCAGATGCACTTTTAGAATTGTATGCAACTGTCTTGAGGACTGTCCTTTGCATTTGGACTCACTTAATTTCTGTTTCCATATGCAGCACAGATTCGGTTGGTCAGCAGCACAAGCCAATGCTCTGGCAGAGTGGAGATCCTCTACAAAGGCCAGTGGGGAACTGTGTGTGATGATGAATGGGGAATAACAAATGCCGACGTGGTATGTAGACAGCTTGGCTGTGGTCATGCAGTGTCTGCTCCTACAAGTGCCCACTTCGGACGAGGCTCTGGTCCAATATGGCTAGATAATGTGGAGTGCAGAGGCGACGAGCCTGCTCTCACTCACTGTACGCATCCCACTTTTGGAGAAAATAACTGCGGGCATGGTGAAGATGCCGGTGTTATCTGTTTAGGTAAGAGGCCTGGCTCATTTTGAATCTGTGAATTATTACCTCCTAAGTGATGTTACACGAAGCTTTATTACAACTTATTATCTGTTTCAGGTTCTCTACAGAAGCCCCAGATCACTTTAAGCCCCGCTCCAGAGGTAAACTGGGGTGACAGAGTCGAGATCACCTGCACTGTAGTAACAGAACACTTGGGTGGGACATTCGTCCTGAAAAAGATGGAAGAATCATTTAAAATGGAGAAATACTCTGAGCACGAAGCTGCAACCTTTGTCTTCCCTGCAGTGGACTTCAGCCAAAAGGGGGCATACTTCTGTGAATATCAAAAGAAACTGCCCACTCAAATCATCTATTATCCTCAAGGAAACACTGCCGAGCTCTCTGTCATAGGTCAGTGAGTGTGTTAGTTTGTTTGAAGTTTTACTCAGCAAGAGTGCAAACCGTGTTTATGACCCATGTCAGTTTGTAAATCTTGCTTTTCTATCCCACAGTGAAACTGGAGAAGCCCAGCATCTCTCTGACATCTCCATACGCAATGGTTGTCTACAGCCCAGACAAAATATCGGTCACCGAAGGCAGCAGCTTCTCCGTCACTTGCTCCACTCATTCCAAATATCCTGGAGGTTACTTCTACCTGACGAAGTCTAACAAAAGCACCACTGAACCAATACAAGCATTTGGGCACTCTATTTTCTACCTGGCGTCCTTTGAATTCCCCTCAATAGATTACAAAAGCCAAGGAGAGTATACGTGCGTCTACGGTGTCAACATGTCCTCGATGTCCTTCTGTTCTGTTCCTTCCAAGTCACTCCAAGTCACCGTAGTCTGTAAGAGCAATTGAGAGTTTATTATCATATCATAGCTGTTTTTCTCAGCCTCTCTCTAACTCTACCATATGAACCTTTAACCCCTACAGCAGCCTCGTCCTCTTCAGTTGTCCCAGGACTTGTGGGTGGGCTGGTGGTGTTGCTACTCCTGCTTGTTGTAGGTTACCTGGTCTGGAGGAGGAGAAGGTGGGGTTCTGGTAAGTGGCATAAGCCCTTTTTTTGTGTGATGTTAGACAGCATGCTGACATTGCTAAACCAAAAAAGGCGTGATGGGTGTGACACGTAACACAAAAGTATCTGCCTCTAGTGTGACATTTAACTTACACGTCAGCAGCACTATATAATCAATAACAATGGCATAACACGGCAATAACACCCATTTATCATCCCTGGTACTTGGTGGTTGATCTCGTCCTCTGCTTGGAGGGTAAGGACCTCCTCAACCTCATTGTTCTTCTTTGAGCTAGCTGCTGTTTGCTAGCAGCTACTTTCTTAGTCTCCCATGGTGGGTTGCACGCGTAACAGGATTTCAAAACTACACACACCTGTGCTGTCCATGATCCCATCCTGCCATCTGTCCCTTTATACAGATGTCGTTTCTGCACTGTTGACTACCTCTTATGCCACCTTAAAGGCGAGACAACTCTGTCCCCCCATTCTAGGACATTACCCCAATGCCCCTTTTTGTTTTACTGTTATATGATGTGTCTAGATTTTATTAAAGCTGCAACAAGTTATATTTCGATATCATGAATGAGAAAAAATACATCATTACTTTATGTCATTGTACACACATAAAACTGCATAAGATCCAGTTAGTTAAAAAAAGAAATTTTTAATTAAAAGAAGTTAAAAAAAAACAAAACTAAACTAACATTTTCAGAAAAATACAACAAAGATAAATGACAACAAGAAGCACACTGAGCTGAAAAGGTAACAATCAGTGAACAATAAGACATACAGAGAACACAATGCAGAGAGAAGAAGAGAAGGAAATATAAATATATATGTCATAATTTCTTAGACATCATGAATTACATTATAATTTCCTTTTTAAAGTTTCTATGGATAAAAAGCCCTTGATAATATGTGCTTTGTTGAACGTCGTGGAGCATTTGGTGTTGTGTTTGCAGCTTGTTTACCCTGACCCCAAGATGTTTAATAAAAAGATATTTAAATTAAAAAAGAAAACTAGAATTACCGCTTCAGTTGTGTGCCTCCCTGAACCTGTCAGGTTGCACTCACAGTTTACATCTATGTATGTGAAAATATGGAGGCTTCACACACATCCTCCCCCCAGCAACACAGAAGATCTAAACAATCATCACAGTGTCAAGTTACCTAAGATTTGTGTCACCAATTTAGTATCTGACCAAATATTTCCCCTTCTGTTGAGATATGATATTGAGTAAAAGCCAGAAAAGTGTTTTTGCAGAACATTATGATGTCACAGTAAAGTTGACTTTTGACCTTTTGGATATAACACGTCATCAATTCATCATTTTATCCTGTTAGACATTTGCGTGACGTTTTGTTATAATGAGTGCAAGAATTCCTGAGTTATGGTCGAAAACATGTTTTGTGATGTCACAGTCACCTTTGACCTTTGACTACCAAATTCATATCAGTTCATTCTTGAGTCCAAGTGGACATTTGTGCCAAATTTGAAGAAATTCCCCCAAGGCGTTCTTGAGATACGGTGCCCATGAGAATGAGATGTATGCAAGGTCACAGTGACCTTGACCACCAAAATCTAAGTAATCCAAGTAAATGTTTGTGCCAAATTTGAAGAAATTCTCTTAAGGTGTTCTTAAAATATTGTGTTCACAAGAATCAGACAGACTAGGTCACAATGACTTTGACCTTTGACCTATGACCAGCAAATTCAAATCAGTTCTTTGCTGAGTTCAAGTGGACGTTTGTTACAAATTTGAAGAAATTCCCTCATGGCGTTCTTGAGATACGGTGTTCATGAGAATGAGATGTACATGTATACAAGGTCACAGTGACCTTGACCGTTGACCACCAAAATCCAATCACTTCATCGGCGATTCCAAATAAATGTTTGTGCCAAATTTGAAGAAATTCTCTTGAGGTGTTCTTAAAATATTGTGTTCACAAGAATCAGACAGACTAGGTCACAATGACTTTGACATTTGACCTATGACCAGCAAATTCAATTCAATTCTTTGTTGAGTTCAAGTAGACGTTTGTTACAAATTTGAAGAAGTTCCCTCATGGCGTTCTTGAGATATCACGTTCACAAGAATGGAACGGACAACCCGAAAACACAATGCCTCCCTAACATACTTGGCCTGTATATCCCCTGTATTTGATTCAGCACAAAACTTTTTGCTGTTGTCATAGTGATGCTATGCTTGTTTTTCAGGTACACTGGTTCAGTTCAGTAACAGGTTTGGAGGAGCCATAAAGCAAGATATGGAAGACAGAAGCAACGGAGCACTCGATGGAAGGTAGTGGAAAAAAAGAACGCTGCTGGTTTTATTTGCCAAGATATACAAAACTTATTTTAGACTGAACAACTTGAAAGACCTATGACTGCAACTGTCACCCTCCTTATCTCCCACAGAGACCGTAACACCCAAGTGAATGAGCCCGTACAGAAGCGCAGCCTGGAAGGCAACAATGCTGATGTTGATAACTCTGTTGAGCAGGCCCCTGAAGACTTGGCTGGGAGAGTGTGCTATGAGCTGGAACCACTCGTTCTGTCATGATAATAAATTGCCTAAAGGAAAAACCTCTTGTGCCATTTCACAAAATTTAAAGAGTAACATAACACCAGGCTAAAAAGACAAACAGGTTTTAAGGCTCACCTGTAACAACAATCTGCAAAAAGATTTTCAGCTGGTGTTCAGTTGCTCTTTAAGGTACCATACCAGGAACCATAGGGACCTGTTTTCAGTGTGTTTTACACCTTTTTAAGTCAACAAATTATTCTGAAATCTCCACACTTTGCATTTCCTCAAATAGATGCTGTGATATTTACTTTAAAGATGCCGAAAATTAAAACTGTAATTTAGAATAACACACACAACGCTTGTGTTAACAGGCAAATGTTTGCCTGAGACATGTATGTTCATACTTTTTCCTGTGGTGATTTTTATATTTCTGGGAGATACTGTCAATCACAAAGCTAAGGTCCACTCACCTGATTACATTGTCTTTGTATTACATGATAATTTGCTTTATTTGGTGTATGTGAATGATGATCAATAAATTTGTATTTCTTACAATCCTTGTACCTCTTCGTTCGGCAACATTTTCCATCAATTACACCCTCCTGATTGAAGCAAATTTGCTTATACTTTCCCCAAAACAGCAGCCATGATACAATGTTTGGGTGAAGTCAGGTAATTGGGTCAGTTTTTGGTAGATTAACAAGAAAACCACTTGAAATTCTGTACTATAGAGACTATGGTGTTGCTTTTAGTACTTATGGTTCTCTGCTATATTTCTATAAAAAGATGTTACCAAGTAAAATACACTGTTAGAAAATTAAGGAAACACAGTATAACACCAAGTCAGTTAAACTTCTGGGATATCAATCTGTCCATTGAGGAAACTCAAGTGATTGTGAATCAGTTTCAGCTGTTTTGGTGCAAATCAAAGTGACAACAGGTGCAATGGAGAGGCAAAAGCAACAACCTCCAAAAACGGAATGGTTTTACATGTGGTGTCCACAGACAGTTGCTCTCTCCTTCCTGACTGATTATTCTCTAGTTTTTTAGCCCTACAAAATGACCTCCAGCAGGCTACTGGTGTGCATGTTTCTGACCAAACTGTCAGAAACAGACTCCATGAGGGTGGCATGAGGGCCCAACGTCCTCTAGTGGGACCTGTGCTTGCAGTTGTGCACCATGCAGCTCAACTGGCATTCACCAGAGAACACCAGAATTGGCAGGTCCGCAATTGGTGCTCTGTTCTCTTCACAGATGAGAGCAGGTTCACACTGAGCACATGTGACAGGCATGAAAGAGTCTGGAGACGCTGTGGTGAATGTTATGCTGCCTGTACCTTCATCCAGCATGACCGGTTTGACGGTGGGTCAGTGACGGTCTGGGAAGGCATATCCTTGGAGGGTCACACACACCTCCATGTCATAGCCAAGAGTACCCTGACTGCTGTTAGGTATCAGGATGAAATCCTCAGAGGGATTGTCAGAACTTGTGCTGGTGCAGTGGGCCCTGGGTTCATCCTGGTGCAGTGGGCCCTGGGTTCATCCTGGTGCAGTGGGCCCTGGGTTTATCCTGGTGCAGTGGGCCCTGGGTTCATCCTGGTGCAGTGGGCCCTGGGTTCATCCTGGTGCAGTGGGCCCTGGGTTCATCCTGGTGGAGTGGGCCCTGGGTTCATCCTGGTGCAGTGGGCCCTGGGTTCATCCTGGTGCAGTGGGCCCCGGGTTCCTCCTGGTGCAGTGGGCCCTGGGTTCATCCTGGTGCAGTGGGCCCTGGGTTTATCCTGGTGCAGTGGACCCTGGGTTCATCCTGGTGGAGTGGACCCTGGGTTCCTCCTGGTGCAGTGGGCCCTGGTTCATCCTGGTGCAGTGGACCCTGGGTTCATCCTGGTGCAGTGGGCCCCGGGTTCCTCCTGGTACAGTGGACCCTGGGTTCCTCCTGGTGGAGTGGACCCTGGGTTCATCCTGGTGCAGTGGACCCTGGGTTCCTCCCGGTACAGTGGACCCTGGGTTCATCCTGGTGCAGTGGGCCCTGGGTTCTTCCTGGTGCAGTGGGCCCTGGGTTCCTCCTGGTGCAGTGGGCCCTGGGTTCATCCTGGTGCAGTGGGCCCTGGGTTCCTCCTGGTGTGGGACACTATCCGGCCTCATGTGGCCAGAGTGTGTAGGCAGTTCCTGGATGACGAAGGCATTGATGCCATTGACTGGCCCTCTCGTTCCCCTGACCTAAATTTATTTTGCCTTGCTGTTCTGTATAAAAGGTACAATCCTAGAATGGGGGGACAGAGTTGTCTCGCCTTTAAGGTGGCATAAGAGGTAGTCAACAGTGCAGAAACGACATCTGTATAAAGGGACACCTATGGGACGTTACGTTTCGGTGCATCTGACGCCACTAAGTACTGCCACAGACTGTCCAGGAGCTCACTGATGCCCTGATCCAGGTCTGGGAGAAGATCCCCCAGGACACCATCCGCCGACTCATCAGGAGCATGCCCAGACATTGTTAGGAGTGCATACAGGCATGTGGGGGCCGTACGCACTACTGAGTCACATTAGGAGTTGAGTGATAAAATTCACACAAGTCAGATGAGCTTGTGATTTTGATTTTTTTACTTTGATTTTCGGTGTGATTTTGAAACCAGCCCTCAGTGGGTTGATGATTTTGGTTTCCATTGATTGTTGTTATGTCATTTGTTCTCAACAAATTATACAATGTACATCAGTAAAGAATTTCAACTTGAATAATTCGTTCATCAAGATCTGATGTGTGATTTAAGTGTTCCCTTAATTTAGAAACTTTGACCTTCAACCACACCAAGATGCCCCTACCTAACTCCAATGACATGGTCAAGTAAAATCCGCCACATGTGCTATTCATTAAAAAAGATCATCCAACTTGGTGCCGTATTGTCTACAATGGGCGTGTGTACTTGCTTGATGATGGCTAGTCTAGCTGACATGGACTCACGGCGCCATCTTTAATATTTTATCAAGTGACAGATATAGGACATAACATTGTGGCACACAATAGTATAGCAATTTGTAATTCCATGACACCTGGTAGCCAAAAAAAACATTCTGGTTTCACTTCAGAAAAATGTCTGGTTTTACTTTAATGTGTTTAGTCCTCATTTAAAACTACTACCAAGAAGAGGAAATCAACACGCCGGTTGACTTATGCGGCAAGTTCTGATACCAGTAATGCTTATGTTCAGTACTTGAGTAAATGTACTTTACAACACTGGTATAACGTGTGTGTGTGTGTGTGTGTGTGTGTGTGTGTGTTTGTGTGTGTTTATGCTTACAGTACACAATAGCCACACCTGGCAACAACAACAACATGCGGGTGGGTGTGTTCATACAGGTATTTAAGTGGTGTTAAAACCAGCACACCTTGTCTGCTGTCAGGTCCACACACCTGCATTTAGGACACTCCAGCATTTTGTCATTGTTACAGTTTTTGTGGTTGCTAAGGCACTTATCTTTGAAACCATGGGCTATTTTTTGCAAAAGTTCTTTACACCAACTACAAAACCTTGCACCAAACCAGCAAAAATTTATGCACCTCTTGCTAGGGCAAACGGTTCTTGCAAAACAATTAAGATTATTTTAATAAATTGTATTTGTATTTGTATTTTGTATTTGTATTTTGTATATCATTTGAATAAGAACACGAAGCACCAACTACACGCTTTCAGTATAACTGAAAAACACACAAGTGTGATATTAAATTGCAAGCAGTGTAAGCAGAGAACATGCATTCAGTTTGGCACATAGACTGTAAAAATAATACACAGAGCTACCATGATGAGTTTGTCATTTCAGCCGTCGCTTCAACCCTTTTGGAGTTAGAAGTGACCATGTTTAGGCAAAAGGCTGGGGCTGTGGAGGAGTGAGGGGCGGATCTGACTGAGAAGCTGAGGACACTATTGGCACATCGCTGTCACTCAAAGCGTTGTTGCACCTTAATTATGTGTAACTTTAAGCCTTAACAAAATGTAAATGAGTGAGTTGTACAAACAATTCACCCCCCTACAGTTGTTAGGAACAAGGATATTAGCTACGGAGACCAAAACCGTTTTTTGTACCAGGCTGGTAACATGTTTATTTCTGCATGGGAGTCTATGGGGACTGACTCAGTCTTTGAGCCAGTTGCAAGTGGCAATTAGAGGAAGTTTTTGGCACTTCTGTGTCAGCTTCATTTTTCAGCCCCAGAGGGTGCTGCTTGGTTTGGCACACTTAATAACTGCATTGGCCAACAGTGTTAATGGCGTCAGAGATAGTGCTATAGTGTGGCATAAACTTAAAATACTCAAGTCTTTTACAAGTACCTCTAAATGTGCAGTACATGTTCAGCACTGCAGTAAATGCAGGTAGCTACTTCCCACCACTGCTGATAGTGTGTGTGTGTGTGCCTGTGTGTATGTGTGTGTGTTTGTTCTTACACAATCGTCACAGGCGGGCCACAACTGGAATGGCAGTCATGTAAGTGGGTGTGTCCATGCAGGTTGTTAAACCGTGTCAGAACCTGCACAACTTGTCTGCTGTTGCATCAAACCAGCTCCACATACCTGTATTTAAGACGCTGCAGCATTCGGTCTTTGCTCTTCTCTCAGTCTGTCTCTAGATCAACGTGTTGTTGTTGAAAATAGCAGATATGCCGCTCACAGTGTTTTATAGCAGCGTGACTGGTAACCTGGAGGTACAGTATGCAGTCTTACTTGCTTGATTCTTATGACTTATGGGCATAGTGTTAATACATTGAGATAGTGGTGACATGTTGGATTCCATATATTAGGCTTTACTTCATAGTACATTTTCTCCCTGTAGACAAACTGTAGCTGCTGACTGTGGACGATGAAGCAAATTTTATTGCAAAGTAGAACTTGGTGTAAATATATGTCAACATCAATTTAATATTCTTGCAAGTGTAACTGATGAAATACTGTCCTCTCCAGATGAAGAAACAACAGCAAAGAATTGAAATGGTCCTGGACAGCAAGAACATCAAATACAATTATGTGGACATCGCTGCAGATGAAAACCAAAAGGCTTTAATGAGGGAGCTGGCAGGGGACCCCAAGGCGCTGCCCCCTCAAATATGCAATGGGGACACCTACTGTGGGGTAAGTCTCACAAAATGACTCTTCAAAAGTAATGATAAGATGTATTGACACTGTAACACTTTCTCAAAACTAACGGGATTGTAATTGAATGTAAAACATTCACACGCCTCCTGCATTTGGTAGACCTGGGTGTAGACACAGCCACTAAATAAATATTAACAGTGTATTACACACACAGACACAGACACACACCTCAGATATGCATGTGCGCACAGTTATGCACACACAGGTACTCTGGACACACCCTAATCACTCCCAAAACACACACACACTCCAGTTTGCTCATCATTCCATTCAAGCCCTGTTTCCACCGAGCAGTACGGTACAGTTCAGTTCAGTATGCTTTTTTTCTGTTTCCACTGTGAAAAGTTGTGGATGGTACCAATGGAACCGTTCTGTACTGTCCCCATTTTTGGTCCCCCTCTGTTGGGGTACCTAGCACACAGATCCGGTACTAAAAGATGGAGCTGTGAACACTGCAGTCTGTTGATTGGTCAGTAGAGGACGGTCACTCTGCTCAGGGCTGAGTTGTGGCTGGTTTTGAGGCTCATGTAACCACTGTTCATACTGTGGAGAGTTTTATAAGTGGACTGTAAGTGTAAAATGAAAGGATGTTTTGCTGCCTCTTGCAGCAGCTGGAGTCAGTGAAAAAAATTTCATTCACTGGGTCGACTGCTGGCGACTTGGTGTTGATTTAGCCAGAAAGATAAAGCTACAAAGTGCTTTGTGCTAGCCAAACGTATTGTAGTAGCAGCCAACGACTTTAGCGAGAACTTAGCTATTCTGCATGGCTGCTCGTAACGTCAGCTGATAAAGTACTTTGCAAACAGTAAGATACTTAGTTTCATGGGGCCCAGGGTTCAAATGAAATATAGGAACATTTAAGAAAGTAACATTCTCAGTATGGCTGAAATTTATTTTCTAGCCTTCTATCAAGAAAATGAAGGTCAGGCAAGGTCTAGTGTTCGTCACTGTTTCGACCAATGCCCAGGTGCTGGCTCAGTGCCACCGAGTACAAGCGTGAGCAACAGGATGCTGACTGCAGTTCACATAACGGCCTACTGGAGAGGTGTCACTAATAACAAGGATTTTCTGAAAGTTACATACAGAGCCTTTAAGAGGAACAACTCTCACAGAACCTATGTTTTTATCCCTTAGAAATGGACATTTTTAATGACATTACTCTAGGGATGGCCATGACAGTTGATCGTTGTCCACCACTTTGGTGAAGACTGAAATACCTTGACAACTGGATGTACAAACTGAAAATGTTGTGATCATATAACACGTAGTAAGATTTGTTTTTTTTTAAAAAAAAAAATCTGTTTAATAAGTACTGCCCTCTCTGTTTCTCTCTGTCTCTCCACATCCCCTCCACCCTCCTTCTTTTCTTTCTTTCAGGACTTCAAGGCATTTGAAAATGCAGTCGAGGCAGAAGAGTTAGAGAAGTTTCTCAAACTCTAAAAGGAATGGACATCACCTGTGAGATAATAATAAATCTATAAAGGACATATTAACATGTCTGTTTCTTTATATTTGAATGACTTATGATAGATGCTTTATTCATATTTTCATTCGGCTGACAATGAGGTTGAAGTGCTTGCCCTCTTTTCAGGAACAGGCTTATAAGAACTTTTGGAACTGTACATTTGAGAACTTTGCCTAAATAAAAATAAAACTTTAAAAACCATTTGACCTTTGCACTCATTGACTGTTGCACTCATTAGTATGAGCAGGGGTGCCGCCAGGAATTTTGGGCCCCATGAAAGAAAATCACATTGGGCCCCCCCTGCGCAGCTGTTGTCATAACTCTGAAGGCTTGCAACTGTCTTGCTTATTGTAATTCAGTATTACCAGTACAATATTTACTGCTAGTGAGTTGTACATGCAACAGTCTGCAATTCACTATTTGATGAAAGATTAAAAGCCGCCATAAAAAAATGTTTTACAGTCTAAATGTAATTTTTATTGTAAAATCCCAAAATGGAAAATTCTCTTAACATTAATTAATAATTAATAATAATTATTAATTAATAATTTAAAAAAAATTAAATATACATTAACTTTTCAATCAAAATAAATCAAGATTATCTCATAATAATGAAAACAGCAGATTTTTGATATCAATAAATGAACGACACTAAATCCTACAGATTTCAGCAATGATGCTAACTGGCATGTGTTGCTCACCTTCTTCATTGGGACGGGGAGGGGTAAAGTTATGGGGAGACAGGGCTGCTGCTTCTGACTCATCTGTTGTTGAGTCTGGTAAAAGGGGCAGGGACAACTGATTTGATATGAATATCTTGCTAAACATTTACCTGCACTGGTTAAAGCAGCTGTGCGGAACTTTTTACCATTTATAAAACTGTCCCTAGTTCGTATCAACCCCCTTGAAGATCCGCATATTTATTTGAACCCAACAGCGACAAAAAAGCCTTTCTCTATATGGCTATTTAGCGTAGCCTCACTCGGGTCGGACAAACAGCAGAAGTCAGCAAACCAGAATACAGCACCTGAGGTGGAAGTGATTCTGCTCGCCCGCAGCGGCCCGCAGCCATTAAACCACACAAGGAGCCGTGTTTACAGTGTTCTTCGAGTAAGCAGTACGCAACGGGCATTGCTGAACACATAACACCTAACAGTTTTACCAGAGATGTATCTCTGAGGACTTGGTTGTACTTTTGATGTCATGGCGGATAACGAAGGAGCATCATGTAAAATTATCTGTGACTGTGACCATGAACACAAATATACAGCAGGCAGTTGTCCTCAGTTTATAAGAAATTCAGAGCTACACCAGAACATTTATGAACAGGTCTTACTTTACTACTAATTTGTGTGTAACGTTAGCATGTTAGCATGTTTCCACTAATTACTTGGACTGACCTAACGTTAGTAGCGTTAGCTTTGCAAGCGAAGGCTGCAGGTAACAGCTTTGCTGTGTTAGGATTATGTTATGTCTTCACTGTGTATCTTCACATAAAAGAATACTCCGACGATTTGGGAGGTATGCCCTTTCTCTATCATTTTCATACTGAGACAACATGATCGATATCTTTTTTGTGTCTGTACGTCCAGTGGCTGGGTCTCAGCGTTAAGCATTGCGCTTATAGGGGGTCAGTACGTCCTGCGCTGTGATCCGCGGAGGGATACACCGGTGTACTGAGGTGTACAAGATGTACTGACCCCCTACAAGTGCCATGCTAACCGCTGTCTCAATATGAAAATGATAGAGAAAGGGCGTAACTCCCAAATCGTCGGAGTATTCTTTTCACATAATAATGCGGACTCAGCAGATGACTTGTTAACTGTTTATTCCTCCTTACACTGAACGTACACGGCTGCTCACACTACTACGGTAGCTTTAGTAGCTCAAAATACACAACAGATTAGATCAGAACAGAAACACGACAGGAGAATTTACTGAGTAATTTTGCTGCTTCCACTAATTACTTATTGGCACCAGTGGTGTGGCACTTGAGTGGTTTAAGTCATATTTGTCAAACAGGTCCTTCACGGTGTCTCTTGGTGATGCCTGTTCCTCCCATGCTCCCCTTTTGTGTGGGGTCCCCCAGGGGTCAATTCTGGGGCCCCTCCTTTTTTCTATTTACATGTTACCCCTGGGAAGAATTATTCAAAGGCACAACATAAATTTTCATCTATACGTGGATGACACACAGTTATATGTACCACTGAACCCTGGCTCTTCAGATGGTTCCCATGCTCTCTCATGCCTGACAGATATAAAAACATGGATGTCTAACAACTTTCTCCAACTAAACGAGTCAGAAACAGAGGTTATCATCTTCACCCCATCTAGCTCCAGCACCTGCAATCCTGAAAGTCTCCCCTCTACTTTTAACATCCAGAAAGAGGCTCGAAATCTTGGTGTCATCCTTGACTCAGAACTATCTTTTGATTCACAGATAACGAAGGTAGTACAATCATGTTTTGGGCAGCTGAGACAATTAGCAAGAATCCGACCGCTCCTCTCTTCCACTGACTTGGAGAAGGTTGTCCATGCTTTTATCTCCTCAAGACTTGATTACTGTAATGCTCTGTACTCTGGGATTAGCAAGGGAAACATCCGTCGACTGCAACTTATTCAGAATGCTGCTGCCAGGCTTTTAACAGGTACAAAGAGAAGTGACCACATCTCTCCAACCCTTGCTGCTCTCCACTGGCTGCCTGTGAGTTTTAGAATTGATTTTAAGATTTTACTACTTGTTTTTAAAGCCTTAAATGGTCAGGCTCCTGCCTATATCCGTGACTTACTTTTACCCTACAAACCTGAACGCTGCCTGAGATCCGCTGGCTCAGCTTTGCTTATGGTCCCAAGGTTCTGTCTTATCACAAAAGGTGACTGGGCCTTCGCTGTCCGTGCTCTGCAGCTGTGGAGCTCCCTGCCCGGCGATCTCAGGCAGGCAAGCTCAGTGGATTCTTTTAAATCTCTTCTAAAGACTCACTTTTGTCAATTGGCCTTCTCTTAATCCTGTTTTATTATTGCTGTACTGTATGTTTACTTTGTTGGGGATGGGTGTTTTTAAGTTAATTTTTTAAGGCCAATTTTATTTCTCTTGGTGGTTTTTTATGCTGGCAATTGTATTGTATGTGATATGTTTTATCTCTGTTGTACAGCACCTTGTAACTCGTTTTTGAAAGGTGCTATATAAATAAAGTTATTATAAATAAAGTTATTATTACTTGGACAGACCTGACGTTAGTTAATCCTCTCGCTCTCCAAAACAAATGCAAGCGGTAATTGCCAGCTGCAGTCGGAATTTTACGACACCAGGCTGTGGGTGTCATACCGCTCCGACCAAATGGGCGCTATAATCAACAAAAACGAAAAGTTCCGCACAACTGCTTTAAATGTAGGTTAAAAAGGAGTGAAGTGTAGGCTAACGCTAGTCTGTAGCTAGCTTATTTCACTATGGGCATTAACCTAACAGATTCATTTCTACCACTCACAGACTATAGGCTACCCACCTCTCTTGGAGAAAAACTGGCTCACATATTGACACCCTTTCTTTTGCCTCTCCTCTCTCTCCTTTCTCTCTTTCCTTTTGTAAAAAAAAAAACATATTTTCTTTAAGTACCAGGTAGCATGATGGTGCTGACTGCTACTAAGCACCATCACTGTCAGTGCGCTAAGGCAGGACCAAACCATTTCATGTAGATACAATTTTTGGTCAGTGGGGATATTTAACTTTGACTGGCAAAAACAAGTAAAAACAAGGAGATCATTCATTTTATTACTATACTTGAAAAAAAATATTCTTAATGATGGTTTAATAATTTTATATTTATTTTTACCTATTTTTGGGGCCCCTGTCAGTCAGGGGCCCTTAGAATCATCCTAACTTTTCTCTCCTATATGGCGTCACTGAGCTTAGGCAAAGATGGTGGATAATCCAAGACGGTCCACTGCGCGTCAGTTTCCTGTATCAGTGTCACGTGGGGTTCGAGACCACCACGCCCCTTTAGGAGACTAACAGCAGGTCCTGAGTCCATTGACTTCAGTGGGAGAAATGAACGTGATTACAGATTATTGCCGATTCTTTTGCCCCATAGTCACGGAAGCAAATATTGGACCCATTTATCACAAGCCACATAACTTCAGAACATTCCGACACCAAAATGGAAAATTTCAGACGGACAAATCAGGAGAAAATTTACTTTGTTCAAGACCTGTCTCTGTCTCAACAACACACTCTCGCAAGATCTGGCAACAGATATGTCCTCTCTGGTGCTGAAATCAGTGCAGTTTCACCAAAGATACTGGATTAAAAAAATATTTTTTCCAGCGGATATCTTAGTTACAACATGATTGAGCTAGCAAAGCAGTTTTGTGTTGCTATGTGTGGTACGATGTCTAGAAAGCATCAATGACTGCAGCTGACAGGGACAGCTAACAGCAGCAGCAAAGCTAACATCAGGACGTCATCTGTTAAAAGCCTCCGGTTGTCGGATACGACATGAAACTACTCCAGTTAGCTCAATTATGTTGTAACTAAGACATCCGCTGGAAAAAATATTTTTTTCACGGTCCGTTTATTTATTTAGCTTACGGCCAGTAAGGGTACACATATGTTGACAGAAGCGAAGTTGGGGATACTCGTCTTTGATTGGCGGTTCTCCATCATCTTTGATTGGGGTACGGGGGACAACACCTACTTAGGAGACCGGAAATGTATACCATTTCATACAATGGGAGTATATTGTAGGTGGGCCATCTTGTAGTAATCCAGTATCTTTGCCTTAGGTGAGGGTTGGGATGTAGATGGACCAGGAAATTGAAAGCTTTGCCTTCTGGCTCAGCTCCCTCTTCACCATCAATGCAGAAGCCACACCAAACTGCCGATCTATGTCACACTCCATTCTACCCTCACTTGTGAGCAAGAACCTGAGATACTTGAACTCCCTCGCTTGAGGCAGTAACTCTCCCAACCTGGGGAGAGAATGTGCAAAAAATGTGCTTAGAGTTTTAGCAGTCTGGAGACTTGTTATTGATACATGAGCTTTGAGTTTTCAGAATTGTTTGCATAGTTTCATTTTATTATGTGTATCCAATGGAGAAAAACTGCAATATATTATCAATTTTTATTTAGCTGCTGTGTCTACACTGAAGGCTACCAGAGTTAGGGTTAGGGTTTTTCTCCTCTTCGACATGCGACAAGCATGTAA